AAAAAAAGAAAGAAAGGAGAAGCGTCCAATGTCCATCATGTTTTGCGCTTCAACATGATGTTGGGTTGTGCTTTTCAGCCCATCACATCACATACCAGTGCCCACCTCGCTCTGGTCTCTGGAGGTCTGGAGCCATCGCTGAGCCGAGCTAACGTGGGCAGTGGGCTGGTTGATTCGCGTGGTGGGTCGAAAGGTTTAGTCCGAAACAGAAATTTACCGTTTAAGAAAACGAAAATTTGCCGAGGAAATATGTAACACTTGGTCACACGGAAGAGTCTCCACTTACTTCTGCTTCTAGTAATTTGGGATATTTGGAAAGAGATGAATTCATGCACATTTTAGCAAAAAGTCAAAAAGAGTCGTCAGCGCTAGACCTCGTCCAAAAGATCAAAGAGGCGAGGATTTGAGGGTTTTGGCTAGTGCAAAGTTTTTTATCGCATTTGATTGTGGGCGTCTAGTTTCCTTTCGTGTGTTACAATATGTGTTTTAGTTTTGTCGCCCTGTAGGTGGTCTTCTAGGGCCGTCTATTTCTATTTTCCTGCTATATTATTAATGGTGCACAGCCTCGTCCCTTAAAAAAATGTTTTGTATAAATAATTTAGCGTACTAATAATTAGTTGATGGCCAAGACTCATCAAGAGATTGTTGACATGCTTGTTTAGTTTGCAAAAACTCCAACATGCAAAAGAAAACGAAGGAAAATTCTTTAAGAAAATTTGTATGCAATTCTGCCATTTTATATCCTCAATATGTTTAAGGAAATTTGCTACATTACTTTTTTCATTTGAATTCATTGCAATATTCACTAAAATAAATATAAAATGATTGTATTAATTAGTCACTTGGTTACAAGTAACTTTGAAGCCAAGTGGTAAGAAAGGACTACGCCAGACCTAAGGCCTACTTATTCCTGAGATTTTTTTTTTGTGATTATATGATGCTAGCATTGATATGTACGGACCTTCTTATATAATTTTTTCTTCTCTGAATTTTCTTGATTTTTTCGTATTTTTTAAAGATGTTTCTATACTATATCAGCCAAGACTTTCCTATAATCCAAGACATGGTAGATGCACACCAGAGAAGCCGAGAGCCATCAGCGGACTAATTCATGCAATGCGTGCTTTATCTGACAACTTTGTTTATGCATAATCTATCTCCTCTGCAACTCCGTGCTTCCAAACAGACACAGGGAAATAACCCCGCATGTGAAATCTCCCCTCCGGGTGGAGATCGAGGGGATTAGCATGTCCAGTAAAATCCCTCCCCCTCGGTTTGCTTCCCTGGGTTAGTTCCCCCGAGCTGCCAAAGTAGCCGTAAGATGGTGAATTCTAACCCCGAGTCAAGCAGCCACCTCTAATAACTACTTCGCGTAGTAGCAAATGACAAGGCCAGCAACAAAGCAGATCTACAATACAACCATTGGTGTTCTATGGCATCAATGGCTTTGTACAAGTACTAGCGTAACACGTATGCATCATAGCAAAAATTTCCATTTAAGTTTAGCAAGACACTAGAGCTTGGTGACACCAATGGGAATTTTTTCTAGCTAGGTCCGCTCCTGGCTGGCAGACCTGCAATGCCGCCATCCCCGTGTTCCTACAACATCTGTCACAAATCAAAGCAGAGCGGATCTTTATTAAAAGTTAAACAAGTTTTCATGACACAGAAGACGGCATCTTTGTTTGGTACGTAGCCAGTACACTAGTTAATTAAAATGCATGTGCACCGAATTATGTGTTCTAACCAACTGATGGCCAGCTGCTGACGCTGTTATTTTTGTCATCAAGTGTATATTAATATATGAAACTCGATGAAGACCGTGGGATGCGCATGATTCCTTCGGTACCCTACAACGAGAAGAAGACTACTACGGCGAGGACAAACTAATAAATAAGAAGACTAGACCGACTTTTGGTTTATGTCAAAAACTAATGAAGAAGACTAGTTTAAGGATCAACTTGGCTTAATGAAAACAAAACGTAGTCCAGGAAATATATATGGGCCGCCTTAGAGTAATTGGGCCATATTCATGTAGTGGATGTGACAGCTGAGCCATGTGCCCAGCTCTCTGTCCCGTGGAGTTTTGTATTGAAGAATAATAGAAAATTGAATCTCACCCACCCAACCAGCCAGGTGCCTGAAGCATCATATGTTTGCCATCGTCCACGAGGAGCCCAGAACCGGAGACAGTACGTCCCTCTGAATAGAACCTGCAAACTCATTCCTTGTTAGCCAAATTAGCCAGCAAAGAGCAGCAGCCCCAGCCAATAAGGCTAAATTATGGTTTTTGTTCCTTAACTTCGACCACCTACCAAAAAGATGGTAAGATGATGGCTATGGCTAACTCATCAATAGCTTCATTTGTACTAGCTATTTGAGGTTGTCTATAAACTAGACTGAGCCTTGTTGTTTGTCTGGGATTCTTCCTTCTTCTCATTGTTCTGTTGTGCAATCATGTTTTTTTGAAAAAAAAATTATGGCAAAACAATTAAAACTCGTCTTCCTCGGCTCTCATGGTGTATGGTACGTATCCATAGCCATAGCCATGGCTGCAAAGCATGCATGCTGGGAAAGCTAGCTAGCACTTATGTGTTCTTGTTGTTCTCTCATCTTCATCCATATCATCTCTCGGTTAGCCCCGCGAGGGTAGGAGGCCGGCATGTCTGCTGCAATGCAACTGCGTCGCCATGACGACATTATTCGCTGAGCGATCGATCACGGTTCCATTCCAGGCTCCAGCCGTCGGAAGAACATTGATTTTCCATGCCACAGGCAGGAAACAGGAAACTTTTGGAGGAAACCAGAAACGAGAACATTGATTTTCCACGGCACGAACTCTTGCTTTTCATTGGCACCAAAACAGCCAACCAACCAGTGGAATTGGAGGAAAGCAGAAACTTTGGCATGACATTCATACCTGAGGGTACTTCGTACTTTTTCCACCGTAGTTTGATACCGTTAGAGCCAAATCTGATGAGAGTGGCATGGTGGGCAAAAAAAGGTTCGGACCAGTGACACATGTGTCCGCTTAACTTTTGTAATAACTGTTGACAACCAAAATTGTCCAAAAATGCAAAATGGGTTCCTCCATCATATTTCTATCATCAAGACAGCTAAAGAGCATACTTGGATCATCACATTTGGAGCCTGGCGAAGAAAACAGCTTTCGAGGACTGACCCAACCGAAATTGGCTCAACTGACTCCCAAATTCGGCTAAGCCGACTTCCCCAACTTTCTCAAATGCAAGAATGATATGCACCATTGCGTTTCTCTTGTCGAGTTGATTGGAAAACTTATATGGTTCCCTACGTTTAGAGTCCGGACAAATTAATTATGGATTTTGGAAGGAGTTTCGACTCCTTGAGGGATGAGGCCACCCCAACCTTATAAATATAAGGACCACGGCCGATTGAGGTGCCCAACACACGCAATCGATCAAAAATCAATATACTCTTTCCCTTTGTTGCTCTAAACTCTCTCCCAACCCCATCTTGTTGTTCATCGCTTGATCCGACGACCAAGGATGGCACCCTAGTCTTGCTCACTGACCTAGGGCAACCCGGCGACATCCTGGCCCCGACAGGGTCCCTCTCGGGCCAGAGCTTCGACGATTCATTTGCTATAGTTTACTCGAAAACTAGTCATTCTTTGTCACGCAAGCACGATTGGTTACCCTTTGGTGATTTGCTCGTAAACCTCTCTGTTCTTCTCCATGTTAGTGTGATATCCTCGCTACCCTTGGGCTTCAAACGGTCTCAACCTAAAAAAGTCACTAGGCCGATTCCCCAATTCGGCAACCGCCCTTGCTTGTTGAGCCGCTATCGACGGCCCATCACCGGCCCATGGGCCAATGCTATCGTCGAGCGGGAGCTCTCCTAAGTTCCGGGTCCTCCGCCCGGGGCGCCTTCCCTGGGACCTCTGCCTCCGTCGCCTATGTTGGTGAAGCCTTCGGCGCAGCCTCCAGGCCTTCCCGGACCGTGGCCTTCACTGCAGCCTCCAGGCCTTCCCGGACCATGGCCTTCGCCTTTACTGGTGGAGCCTTCGCCTCAGCCTCCAGGCCTTCGCCCGGAGCGACTGGCCGAGTAGAGGTCTCCGTCTCCTTTCCCTACATGTCGCCCATGAAACTTGGAAAGCTGTTAGTTCTTTACCGTCGTCGCGAACTCTAGACTCCGCGGCTCATAACCGTGTCCCAACACCGTGCATTGTAGCACTTGTGGTGTGTGACCTATCTTTGCTTCAACAATGACACATATGAAATTTGAAACCTTTATAATGTCATACAGGGAAAAGACTCTGTTCTCAAATCCATGGATATCTATATCTCACCCACCCTAACACACCCTTAATCAACTAAACCCTAACTAGTATGTGTCTAGACTAGATGAAGTAAGGTCTTCACTCTTCACTGCCAGCGAGACCGTGGCACGAGGAGCGAGGGGGACTGGTGGTGCAGAGGATCCCTGGGACGAGCCATCTTCTTGAGTGGAAGTGTAGTATTCTTATACAATATATGATCGCTCGTGGGCATGGCTATTTCAATGGCCAACCCATCAACCTCCTAAAAGAAAACATAATTCCAGCATAAGCAGCGACATAAGCTAAATTTTAGCGAAACGAACAGGGCCGCAATTTTTTTTTCTTAAGCGCACATGCTCTCGTACCGTGTACAGCAGAAGAGAGACAACATTCAACCTCCATCCAAGTTCCCAACAGTATGCTCTGATCCGTACATAGCTAGAAAAGGAACAGGGGTAGTTCGAGGCATGATTTTATATGGATTGCTATGTGAAGATTACTTCGTTTTTTATTGAATGTATAAACCGATCTGAAATTTCATTCACACACATAAATATTAAAAATTAATAAATTGAAACAATGACAGTACGATCAACATATATACCAAAGAAAAGGCAGAAGAAACATACGAACACACGGATGCATTGGCGCGCAGCCCAAGCTAGCATTCGTATCTATTACTGATAATAATAATTTAATTTCATGAGTTGGCGGCTTGCTGGTTGATATCCGGGATGTCCTCCTGGTCTAGGCCCTGCTCACCGTGGACGGCGTTCCCACGATAGCCGGCGTGCGTAAGCAGCGCCCACAGGTGTGTGATGAGCTCACTGTCGCCGGCGAGATGCCGCTGGTGCGTGGCTGCTCCAGTGTTGGCCACCAAGTGGAGGAGGAACCCCGTCCAGAAGTTGGCCAGGTCCCTCCAAAGGCCTGCTGCGTCGCCATGGTACACCTCCGTCAGCTTCTTTCCAAGCATTGCGCCCATCCTTGTTAAGGAACACCCAATGTCAAGATCTTCGTAGTAGTCATCCTCTTCTTCTTCTTCTTTGTCGTCGTCCACTTGATGATGATCATCTCGTGGCGTTGCTGCTTCCTCCACATCAGCAGGGTCCCTTCCCTGACGACGGTGATCAGGGTTCTTGCAGGGCTTGTCGACCGTCTTCATAAGACAGTTGTATACATCTTCGAGCTTTAGCTTTTCCTCATCGACCCCAACAATGACGCAGTCGATTTCTCCGATCACCTCATCAAGGACCTTCCTGGCAATGAGACGATTATCCGTTACCAGAGCCTTGCTTACCAGATACACACAATAGTTGGATAAAGTGACTGCAGTTGCGTACTGCTCAGACCAGGCGGATTCAGTTGAGCCGTCATCGTCGTGCTGTTGAGCCCGTGGTGCCGCCGTTGATGGTCCATTTGGTTTCCTTGTGTGGCGGCGAAGGCAAAGGAACGGCAGCGGACGCCACACCTCAGCCCGGAGCGGCTTGACCTCGTTGAAAGAGTAGATCTCGCAGAGGCTGGTTGCGATGTGCCACACCAGTATGATGTGGGTGTCTACCTCCTTGAGGTCACATGGCCACACCACCTTCTTCTCACTAGTATTGGGTTTGGATGATCCGAAGGCGTTTGTGAAGCAGATACGAATCGATATCCCTTCTTTCCCGCTGTCCAAGCGCCTGAGCTGATTCAATATCGCATCCTTGGTGTAATCCTCTAGGCCGGCTGTTCCAAGTATTTCCCCTCTAAGGCTTACCTTCCTGATTGTCCATGGAGGTACGGGACCTGGCCTCAGCTGAGAGACTGTAACCAGAAGGTTCTGCTGACGGACCGTACTCAGCTTGGCTTTGCAGTAGAAACAGAAAGGACGACAAAGCATGGAAGACAAGGCCCGGAAACAGAGCACGAACCACCTCATGGCTGCCTCCACCACCGGGCGCCGATGCTGGAGCTGGACGTACGTGCACAGCATCAGGACTTTGGCCCAGCGTGACCACAGGTAGAGAACAATCTCCAGCATCTCCTTGAGGACGATGATGCCGATCATGAGGCGGGTGATGAACACACCGTGCGTGATCCTGTTCCGGTCGGCTGGATCCATCCTCTCCGGTATGTACTGGGCAGGATAGGCGATGTACCCCGTCGCCGTGGCCAGGAACAGCGACAGCAGCAGGCTCCGCAGCGGCACCAGGAGCCCGCCAGCAAACACGGTGGCATGCTTGCTGTAGAACAGGTCCTGGAGGAATGACAGCTCCGCCCCAGTGATGCGGAAAGCCCTCTCGCGGTCCTTGAGGACGTAGTCGAAGACGAGCCGCCTCATCTTCTCCTTGCCCGCCGGCCGGTCCATCTCGTGCATCGGGAGATCGTAGAACCGACGGCGCAGCAGCTTGTACAGCGCGAACGACAGGCACAAGTCCCTGCGACGGCCTGCTGCTTCTCCCGCTCCCAGTCCCAGCAACCCGCTGTCGTTGTCGCCCTTCCATATCGTCTCTACGGTGACGAGCTGCTCCTTGTGGACTCCATCTGGATACAGTTGAATCTTGTAGCTGCTGCTGCTCTCACTTTTTACTTGCTGTCTCCATTTCCTGAAACACGAAGATAGTGTTCTTTTTCCTTCCCGCTTGCTGCCCTCTTGGACTTCCTTGAGCACGTGGTGCTCGCCATACACCAGGTACTTGTACCCGCTCATGGCGGATTCCTTCTTCTGCTTTGGGAGAGTGTCCTCGTAGCTCATATAGTCGCTCACCAGCCTCATGCTCTCTTGGTTATTCGTCTCACCTTTACCGGAGCTGACGAAGAGCACGACGATGCGAACTGCATTCAGGGACCAGATCGTCCAGAGGGGGATCCTGAGGAGGTAGAAGGTCTGCACCCGAAGGAGATTGGCTGACCAGAAGGAGGACATGAGGTCCAACAATGGGACCTGCTTCGACCTGGTGTAGGGGCGCCCGATCCTTTGTGGGTTGCAAGCTCCAGAATCTTTTGTAGGGGATCGATGGCAAGGATGAATAGCATGGGAGAAAGCAGGTCACCTTGATAGACCCTGCACCTATGGTTGATAAGGCCGCACTGTCTCCCATTCAGGATCACCCTTGATTTTGTTGAGCTGAAGATGCTGGAAACCTAGACGCACCACCAAGGACCACAACCTAAGGATTACAATGTTTCTTCGTCTCAAGTTTCTTCATCAATAGGATAATGTTTGCCTTGTTCAGCAAGTTGAAGTCCTTGTCATTCATCCTATGTGTCAATGTTTCGCAGCGTCAACTAGTAAATTTGTAGCCGTGCATATAGCTTCAGGTGGCTTGGGCTCAGAGACTCAGGATCTATACTGATTCATGAAACGTACCCTATGTCTAGTTCATGTGGAGCATGAGGGTCGTCATTTGCAATATGGGTTACAAGCGGGAGATGGAAGAATGAATGTTACTGATCTAGGTTCTTAGGAGTCCCCGAGTGTCACGACCCAACGGTCGTTCCAAATTTAAACTTAAAAAAAACTCCTTGACGCTCTAACTCCTACCGATCACCTTCTTGGACCATGACTTGAACCCTTGCTAGTCACCCGTGAACTCTTTGGATCACAAGCCTATGTTGATCTCAACCTAAAGTCTCTCTTTTTTGGCCTTTCCTACAATGGATGACCTCATCGACCGGGTGGATACCAGCTAACCTTAACCCTTGATCAACAACGACCCAAACCTTGCTAATAATCTTAACAAAAATCTTTTGGTCAAACCTGGTCAACTCAAGTCAATCTGATTGTTTGACCTTAGTCAAATCCTAGGTTTATCATCGAAGGGTATTCTTTCGTCGTCCATCCTTATCCACTTGGGGCTTGGGGGCCACCGCCATCCTTGTACTTGTAGCAAATGATATGGAGATCGTGGTGCTCCACAGCTCGCCTATGAATCAAGGCAGCAGTAACATTCTGTTTAGTACGGGCGCGTGCTATTCGGGGCATGCCCTCCCCTATGACGACAACAGTGTGGACAAAATGAAATTATATGTTTATGTGTCAAGTTGGATTATATTTTTTTAACAATCAGGAGGGGTTACCCCTACTGATCCTATCATAAGAGTAAAAGAAGGGTTTGAATAGAAAGCGATGCAAAGTCAAAAGACAAAAAAGAAAAACAAAGAAAATCATAGTTCTTATTATCATGAGTGCCCAATCATCATAGATCTGACCTTATGGGCATTTTGTCTTTAGTGGCAGAATGGTTAGGAACTAGTCCAATGACCTTTCATGAAGGCCCCCCTTGGTTGCGAACTCTAGTCTATAGTTTTCGGATGATCATGTGAAGGATCGGAGCGCCCAACGAAGAACACACACAATGAGGATAATATCGTCGGCGTGGCGTACATAGAGAGATACGCTAGGGACACTACAGGATACTGTGTATTTACCGAGTGTGAGTAACACTCGGCAAATAGTGCTACACACTCGGCAAACTCTTTACCGAGTGCCACACTCGGTAAAGTGGACTCGGCAAACAACGACTCGGTGAAGTTATTTTACCGAGTGTCTAATATCGACGCACTCGGAGCAGAGCGTTATCGAGTGCTACAACGACACTCGGTAAACAATTATGACTTGACGGTCGTCAGCCTCCAAACTGACCGTTAGCGGCGACGTTTACCGAGTGTCACTAGCAGCACTCGGTAAATAAATTAGCATTTCGTGATTAAAACAATTCCGCAAATAAATTTTTTGAATAATGTTTACCGAGTGTAGCTCCTAACACTCGGTAAAAGAATAACCATTTTCGTGATTAAAACAATTCCGCAAATAAACTTCAGGAATAATGTTTACCGAGTGTTCCCACTCGGTAAAAAGTAGTCAAATATTTCCGAGTGGGGACGCGGCACTCGGTAAAAAATGGCACACTCGGCAAAATTCACAGAATCAGAACCAATTTGGTTATGTTCGCTGTTTTACCGAGTGCTACACTCGGTAAAACTGACAGAATCTCTGTTTTACCGAGTGCTACACTCGGTAAAATATGTCCACATAATTTTTTTGTTTGTTTCAGTGCATATCCAGTCACAATAAGCAATAAAATCACAGGAAATTATAATAACATGATAAATAGGCAATATATATCACATATATGTCCACAAATGTCACATCCACTCACAATAACCAACATATGTCGACAAGCACCATGCAAAGTCCACAAACACCATCAACATTTGTCCAAAGTCCACAAAGTTCAACCAAGTCCACAGTTCAACATACAAACCTATCAAACAAGATCGGATGGCCTGTCACATGGTCGGAGGCCTGCGGAGAAACGGAGTCAAGTCCAGGTCTTGATCACCCTGCATATCGTTGTTCGATCCAGCTGTAGAAGGTCCCTAGAATGAGATTGCACATGTGAGTTATCTGGATCAAAGCAAATTCTAAGGTCTAAGCTATGGTAGGTCAAACTAAGGTATAAGTCGAAGGTAGCTCTATATGACACGAAAGTGAAGAGTGCATCTAAGTGACTCACAGGAGTGCCGTCGCGCGGAGGTGGAGGCACCAACGGTATCATCGGCGGCGGAGGAGGCGGTGGAGGCTGGCCCATGCTCTGAGAAAAACGGGCCATGTACTCGTGCAGTCCTTGTCGCGCTCTTTGGAAGGCCTCAAGTGGGGCTGCACTCGCGCCCTCTCTCCTGTGCTAACTCGGCCTGGCACGACAGCTCGAGGGCTGAAGGCTGGCTCTGTGAGGCTCTTGTGACTCTGCAGGCTTCAATCTAGGCCTACAATTATTTATCACATAGTTAGAATGCAAATAAAGAACGAGTAGAAAATGAATGGACAACGAATGCAACAGAACTAACCTGGAGTGCTACCACCTGGGGCTGTGAGCGTGGGCGTATGGCCGGACTCGAACTCATGCTCCGGGCTCTAATCTGGGCGAGTGTCTGAGTGTTGGCTGTGTCTATGGTGCTGTTGCCCATATAGTACCGCCCGTGTGGCTTACCTAGTCCCAACCTCATGACGATGTCACCCTCGAGGTCAGCGGTGCTCGGATCAAATTCTGACCCATGGATCTCTCTCTCTCCATCGTGTACTCATTGAGGCGCCTGTGCACGCTCGGGTTGTTGTATGCCTCGGGCGGGTCCTCCGGGTTGTAGACGAGGTCGGGGTCCTTTGCCTTGCCCTTGTGTGCCAAGGCATATGCCTTGAACGAGGCGCACTCCTGGCCGGGTGGAACGCGTCTGCGCAGGAAGAAGCACAACAATAAGATATTATGCATTCGAAGTTAGCATAGCAACAACGAAATGAAATCCACGTACATATCCGGCTGCATATTCCTTGAGGTAGTGGGGCCTTGTTTGTGCGAGGAACCCTGCATCATCGCATGACGGCAACGCGTGAGCGCACTGACGTGATATTGCTCGTACTCCTCACTCAACCACTTGTCCACAATGGCCTCCCAGCAGTTGTCCATCCCCGCACACCAAGCAGGAGGCACCTGCACGTACACGAGCACATGACAAATCATAAATCAATTTCAGTGCAATTAATCGTAGATGATGTAATCTCATGTTTACCGTCAAGTATTGCTCCTTAGTCAGGGGTAGGTGCACTGCCTACGCTCTGATGACTCTGTGTCCTCTGCGGGCATGGTAAATTCTTCTGCACAGGAGCTTTGTCTCGTAGAAGAGGTCCTGCACTCGGTGAACACAGACTCTGTTCACCACGTCATCCGTGTCCTCCCTACGTACTCCCTCCGCCAAGGTGTAGTAATCCTACAAGCAAATACAGTCAGTAATATACAATTAATGTGATGTTATTATCAGCATAGTGCGATGAACACGTACCCACAGCTCTTTCATCACCCGGTCGGCCTTGCTGTTATAACACCTGCCAGCTCGATCAGTCTGATCGCTGGCGGCGTGCCAGTGGGACCACTTCATGGCGGGCTGCACAACACCATCGATCCTCACCATCCCGGGGTAGTTTGCCCTGCACAGAAGACCCAGGATCCTGTTTACTCGGCGAGAGTGACTCCCTGGGATCACCATTTCCCAATCCCTACACAGTTATTGAGATTGAATATTAGTTTCTGTTATAACTTAAAAACCTGTGAAGTAGTGTTAACATGCAAAAATTACTTACTTAGTTCCAGAGGGTCAAATCACTGGCCGTCTCTGTATGGGTAAGTCTGGGAGGCGCGACGACCGTCGTAGCCAAACCGTAGGCACCCCATTTTCCTCTGCCAGCAAGTCGGCATCCTCCTGGCGCTCAGCCCGCTCGGCCTCATCCTCCCTCCGTGCCTCCTCCACCGCCTCCGCTATCTCCTCCCTGGTCTCCTCCTCCTCCTCATCCTCCTCCGTGGCCGCTACGAACTCGTCGTCGTCGTCCTGTGGAGGAGGTGTCGGCTCTCGACGCCCTCGTCGTCGCCGTCCTCCTCCTCCACCCTGGGCTCCTCCTCCACCCTGGGCTCCACCTCCACCCTTTTTAATTTCAACAAAAAGGCTACTTTTTAATTAAAGCAAAAAGGCATAAAGTTTGAATCAAGGAAAACAACAATATATATGGCCATTGTTTTGTTAGAAATTTCAGTATGAGAGACTACTTTATTTTCTTATCTTGACTTAGATGTGATATTGTAAAATTAAAACATAAGTATAACATATAACATAAAGAAATTGTGCTTGCTAAAATTTCCAAACCACAACCATCCATATACAATCCATGAGCCATACCACAAGAATCTAAATCTTTATAGAAACATAGGGCTAACAATATAGAGAACACTCATCCTTACTCACGTCTAGTCATTTTCTCATCTTTCACAACTAAAGTCATCAACTCTAAACATGAAAGTCATCAACTCATTTTAATATTTGAGCTGAACAAACAATGATGCTACATGAAACTTCATGTATTGTCACAACCAAACTCATGAAAGAGTGTATGCATGAAGTTCCAGTGGCTTAGGGCATTTACCAGTGGCGGCGGCGGTGGAGGACCACCCAGTGGCGGCGGTGGTGGAGGGGAGGAGGCGGCCGCGGCGGCTGTGGGGGACCGCCCGGTGGCGGCGGTGGTGGAGGGGAGGAGGCGGCCGCGGCGGTGGGGAGGCGCCGGCGACAGCGGGGAGGCGCTGGCGACGGCGTGGAGGGGAGGCGCTGGCGACGGCGTAGAGGGGAGGAGGCGGCCGCGGCGGTGGGGAGGCGCCGGCGACGGCGACGGCGTGGAGCGCGCGGGCGCGGGCACGGGCGCGGGGAGGCACGGGCGCAAGTGCGGCGGACGGCGGGGAGGCGCCGGCGACGGCGGGGAGGCGCCGGCGCGGGGGACGGCGGCGGTGCGCGGGCGTGTGCGGTGTGTGTGTGTGTCTGTGCACGATTTGAGGGAGAAACGGCTAAGTGTTGAATGCTTCTGTTTACCGAGTGCCTAGATGTATGGCACTCGGTAAACTCATGCACCGCAGCCCAATGACATGTGGGCCTGGTACATATTTACCGAGTGTCCAGATCTACGGCACTCGGTAAACAGAAGCACCGCAGCCTAATGACATGTGGGCCTGGTACATGTTTACCGAGTGCCCAAATCTACGGCACTCGGTAAACAGAAGCACCGCAGCCCAATGACATGTGGGTCTGGTACATGTTTACCGAGTGACCAGATCTACGACACTCGGTAAACAGAAGCATGGCAGCCCACTGTGGTAGACAGGTGGGCCGTGGCTAACCTTTACCGAGTGTTTGAGGTCACACTCGGTAAAAGTATCCATTATTTCATGCAAAACAAAAAAGAAAAAATGCCAATTTAATCCTAAAATTCACCAAACTTTCACATGAACTATTTCATGTCATCTATTTACTATCTAAAAAATTCCAAGTTAAAATCATAATGTTGAATTTCACTCTTAATAGAAATCCTACTCGTCATTGTGAATGTTTAGCGTCTCTTTGGGAGATATACCGGTTCGGCAGCGACGAATGTAAAAATACTTCCGAAACGTTATGAAAATTTTTCTATAACATAGATGTATGCTTCAATGTTAATTCTTCCAATCTCGTGATTTATCGAGTTCGATTTTAATTATTACAATTAAATTTACATGATATGTACCTAATTTTCATAAAGAATGAAAATTTTATGAAATATAGTAAATAAATCGAAATAAACACCATATTTTGGAATGGAGTACTAAATATCATATGTGGATAGAGGAAAAAGAATGAAGGGAAAAACAAGAAATTTGGTTGAATTTTACCGAGTGTTGTGCCAATACACTCGGTAAAAGATAGTGTTTACCGAGTGTTGTGCACTTACACTCGGTAAAACTTTATTATTACCGAGTGCAAATACTTCTACCGAGTGTGACACTCGGTAAACATTTTCGGTCTTTTTTATTTGCTATGAGCGCTTGATGGGCGGAGCTGTTGTTACCGTGATGTTTGCCGAGTATATGCTCATAACACTCGGTAAACATATCATGCCGTGACGCCGTTTGGCGCACGGTTGCTATCCTAGGTGACGTGACACCTCAATATCGAGTGGCTGTTTTTACGGAGTGCGCCCCTTCGGTAAACTTGTAGTTTTACTGAGTGTCTGAAGTTACCGAGTGTGTTGACTCGGTAAAGCGGTCGACTACCGGGTGTTTATGTTTTCCGAGTGTTGGCACTCGGTAAGTATTGTTTTTTGAGTGCCCCGACTTTTGACACTCGGTAATTGTCGGGGCACTCGGTAACTACACAGTCTCCGGTAGTGGGAGTCTTGTGCTATTAGATGAACCAGCGATGAGTAGAGCCGGTCGGCGGAGAGGAGCCAAGATCAGCGCAAAGATGGCTGGCAGCAAGCTTGCACGAGGTAGCACCTCTGTTCCGTTGCGCATTGTGTAATTGTGTTAGCAAGAGCCCGGGGCAAAAACCAGAACCGGAGACTACTGTAGCCCGTTTCACTTGGAAGAACGTTATTCATGCAACTGAACCACTAAGAGCAGCTCCGGTGTTCTGAAAAATCGAATCGAGAACACTACACGGTTCGGCTGCTCCTTGTTAGAGATAAAATCAACTCAAACGGCGAACCATACGGTGGCTGTTCCAATTAAAAATTCCTTATATAGAACAGGTCATTGATGATGTTGCCTATGAAAACCTCATCACCCAAGGTCACTTCCAATTTGTTTACCATTTCTTTGGAGCAATCACCGATGCGACACTGCAGCTCTCCCAAACCGAACTCTACCCAACCGAACCGTGTTACTTCAGTTCATAGTGCTGGAGCTGCTCTAAAAGCACATGGATTGGAAATTCAGAATCGTTTTTTACAAGACCGGTAAACCGGCTAGTTCCATTTGAGCTGGAATTAATGTTTTTCTATTTTTTGCACTGCTACCCCACTATCTATTCTATTCAGTATAACACGATACATCTCTGGATACCACCATCGACCTAAGTGCATATGATTATAAAAAATAAAGACCCAAGAAGACGACCTCGACCTCATATGAATGGAACTTATTTATATATCATCATGTCATGGGTAGTTGGGTACCCAATAACCATAGAGATCTGTCCTTCCGGGCATTGTTTAATAGTCTCTCAACTACAAGGAGGTTGGTTTGGAACTGGCAATAGCAATCACAATCACAATCACAAATTGCCTAGTACACAGCTCCCCGGTTCCTGACATCGCCTGTCAGCAGCTACTGCGCCCAAGACCCAGGTACAAACTGCTTGTTTCATTCATTTCATAGTAATAATACACGTTAAGTTGTTGACAGTTAACTCTGCATTGCATAATTTGCAAACTTCAGTCATTTCCTCAAGAATAAGAGAGAGAATCCTCAACTTCTAACAAGCGTGAAAGGGTGTGTATTGTTTCTCATCATATGGAGGAACAGGGAATAAGCTTAACTGAAATGATGCATATATCATATATGCCTTTGAGTCTTTCTCATAACCAAGCTAGAAGCTACAACTAGCATGACTGGTTAATTTTCTGTTTATTTTGAAATAGTCTGGCAACAATATAAAATGAAACCAGCATATAGATCCAGCATGCTTGCCTCCAATTTTGTTTCATGGTTCAGTGTTTATTATACTGCTAGTTCAGGTGGGGAGGGTTAATAAGCACCGGGCCGCTTTCGAGTATTGTTCCAACTGTGGTTATCATCTCAGTTCATTCAGTTCTGCTGTGACGATTGTTTTCCTCGGAAAGAAAAGCTACGGTGTTGCTTTTATAGTTAATTTGTTTGCAAAACGGCCTTGACCATGGAGGCATCCCTGAGCAAGGATGGTGAGCCTGCATGATATCCGCGAGCATGTGGCATCCCTGTTCATCATGCTGAACAAGAAGACAGTCATCTTGTTCCGCATCGAGTTCCTGGTGGTTCTCGTCACACTGGTGTTCTTTGCCATGTTCCTCATGGACTTCTACCGCCGCATCATCCACAACTCGTTCATGAGGGCCGTGTTCAGCGTCTTCGACGCTGTCTCCGACTCCATCGTCGTGTACCTCCTGGGGGCCATGCAGACGGCGCCTTTCAAGAACCAGCTGTTCCCGGTCTGGGCACTTGTGCTCGTCAACTTCCGCTACAGCGCAGACTACATCTCGGGCTACGGTGTCCCCGACCGCCGCGGGCGAAGGTTCACCGAATGGAGGAACGTGTTCAAGCTCCTGGGATCCGCGTTCCTGAATTGGACGCGCAGGTCCAGCTTCTCGGGTCCGCTGTGGCTGGTCTGGAGTCTGCAGATAGTGAGGAGCGGCTACAGATTTCATTCCCATAAACTGGCGTCCCGCGCCGTCTGGCATGGCGGGAGCTCGGAGCTTGTTGCAGAGCACATGCGTGCCATGCGTGAGCGTGGTGACCAAGTGAGCAGCAGCAGCCGAGGAGAATTATTCAACCCAGTGACGATGGAAGGCTACAGGTACTTGGTGTACGGAGAAACAAAGCAGAAGAAAGGAGGATTCAGACTGAAGAAGCCTCAGTATGCATTGTCTACCGACCAGGATCAGCAGGATGCTACCAAGAAGAATAAGAAGACGTCTCCGCCGCCATTGATCACGCTGGACACGATCAGCAGGTGCAGGGTAATAAGGTCGTTGTGAAGAAGGACCTCCCTCTGGCCTTCGCCTTGTCCAGGCTGCTGCGGTGCAGGTTCGAGGATGTCAAACTGCAACGGTGTATATTTGACACAAACCGGGATCTGGTGAAGAGCATCATTGCTGGGAAGGTGGGTGCCAGCGATGCCCTCAGGATCATGGAGCTGCAGCTCGCCTTCGTCCATGACTACTTCAACACCCGCTACCCCATGATCTTCTGGTGTGGCCTCCCATCCCTCTTCATCAGCCTGGTTCTGTCCGTTCTGACCATGGGTGCTGTCGTCTGGCTTGCTGTGGACATCCGTAAGGTCTTTAAGCCCCCCAGTGGCGAGCTCGCCAACCTGGTGAAGGGTTTCAATGTTGACACGATCATCACATGGTTATTCATTGGCTTGATGATTGTCAAGGAGATATGGGAGATGCACACCTACTTACGTTCAGACTGGACAAGCTTAATCAAGGCGTGCGAGCATGTGCAGCGCAAGTCCAAGACCGAGAGGACCAAACAATCAAGAGACGATACATGGATGTACTGCATTCTGCTATATATTTCCAGATCTAAATTCTAATAAGGTCACTGATAGGAGGTGGCATGGACTCATTGACCAGTATGTCTTCGTGGAGTCCTATGATGACCGGCCAAGGTTTTGGAACCTCATCCACAACCTGACCACGGGCATTGTTCCAAAGAAGGAGGATGGCGCAAAGCTCGGCAGCGCCGTCCAAGTCCCGGACTGTGTCAGGCAGAAAGTCCTGGAGAAGCTCAGCGAGCTGACCGAGGATAATGGAGATGGACGGGCAGGTCGTCGTGGCCAGCTGCTGCCCGGGTTCATCAAGACGTTGTCCGACACCAGCGTTAGCATGGAGTTGCAGAGGTACCAGGCGTACACTGCACGACCGAGCAGTGCAACCACTGGCGGCGGTGGCGGCGTCGTTCTGCCGACAGCCTCCCATATCATTCTTGTGTGGCACATCGCGACCAGCCTCTGCGAGATGGAGCTGGCAACGACGCACGGCGTCGACCTGGGCAGCCCTGGGTTCCCGTGCTCCCTCCTGTCTTGGCTCTCTTCTCTCTGCTCGTCCAAACCGTATCTTATGGACGTGTATGATAAGAAAGGCTGCTGCAGCAGCAGCAGCTTGTCATGGTTCACGATCTCAAATTGTTGCTGCTCATCGTCCAAATCAAGTGATGGCAAGACGGAGGAGAAGAAGCAGCAAGTGAATGGGAAGTTGCCTGCAGGCAACCTCCGGAGAGCATACATCATTGCCAATAGCTTGTCGCGGTACTGCACGTACCTGCTAGTATCAAAGCCGGACCTGATCCCTGATAGCTTCCTTGTCCCCAAGATAGTCTTCCAGAAAGCCGTGAGGAGTGCTCGTGATGGCATTTTCAAAGGCACTGGTTCATTACAGGAAAGGCACAAGGCACTCAAGGCACTCATGGACGAAGCAGGTAAGGCACAAGGCACTCAAGCACTCAAGGACGATGGCGCAGAAAGAGATGAGGAGGATGTGCTGAAACAAGGAATCGCGCTGGGCAAGGAGCTTTCGCGGACGTGTGGACAGAGCTGCTCATACACACTGCGCCCACGAAGAATGCACTGGCACACAGGAAGTGTCTTTCTGCAGGGGAGTTCATAAACCACGTCTGGGCATTGCTCTGGCACTGTGGCATCCAAGAGAGCAGCTTGTGGCCAAAGGATACTAGCCCTGAAAACAATGAGCCACAGCCACAGGTGGGGAACGGTGGCGGTGATGGGGCTGCTGCTGGGATGATCGAGAAAAGGCGAACTGGAGGAGATGCTATGAGGGAGAGAGACCACATTGGGATCACCATTGATGAAGCACATGACAACAAGGACAAGGGGAAGGGAGCCAAAGATCTTGAGGCAGGCGACTCAAGTACTACAAGTACAGGACTACTGAAAATGGAGGGAACTGAAAGCTCGGAAATTGAGGAGGTCTATGGGGATGCGACCACAAATGTTCAGAGAGGCATGGCTAGGCAAACCCAAAACTAGCGGCAGTGAATTGAACAAGGTGGAAGAAATTGTTCCAGAGATGATATAAGCAGCGCAAAGTGACCTCAAGCACATGTATGCGACCATATAAGTTCCGCAACACAACTTGGACGTGTGCTGAGGATATGTGTTGATCTTCAATCCAGGGACATGATTGGTTATTCTGATGGTGGGAGATTAGTCTGTTCTGCATTTTTCTACCTTTGTGTACTTGCACTGTACTGTTCAGTAAATGAGGTTGTATCATTGTTGTGGTCATCAGTTTATAATTGGTAACTTGATTCCTTGGTGGCAAATAATGTTGTCGATGCTGCCGGCGCCCCTCGCCGGTGACAGAGCCGATCACCCTAATTGAACACCGCGAACTCACAAACGCACACGATGACAAGTGGATTTGGTGCCGCGAACTCACCCTAATTGAACGACGCTGCACTCACCATGACCTCCGACTGGACTGCGCCATCCCACGGTGGAGGAACATGCCGAGTACCTCCACTACTCATGAACAAAGCGAAAGACACGGACCACCACCGCATGAACGCAGCATGTGTCTGGCTAAAAGAAAAACTAGACGAGCCCCACTTGGCTAGAGTCAGGCACACCTTATTCTAAATATAGCCAAGAGAAAATGAGCTGAGCCAAGCTAGATTACCAACAAATAAGAATCGAATTTGTAACCTGGTTCATGCGCGGGTCCATCATTAATACGAGTAATAACTAGTCTGGCATCCAATCAACCAAATGTAATTGGTCGCTAGGAAAAGGACCCCTGGGCTTGAACCCCAAGGCGACTGCGCGCCCTGGCAGGTACCTCCACCGCGTCGACGGTGGCGCCGGCTGCTGCTCCGACAGCGGCGCCCGCCTCCCCCCCCCCTTCCTCCTTCCACTCCACGCACCGCTCCTCCCCAACTGGTGACTCAACGCTCGGCAGCGCCCACGACAACCCTTTGCGCCACCACCGCCGGCGGCTGCTGCCCTGGCTCTAGCGGCTGCCTCCCCGCATGCCCCACTTGCTCAGCCATGCATGACCGCCGGTGGTAGCGAAGGTGGCAGGGTTGCCGCCCGGCCGCAACCATGGCACGCTGTCATCTCATTGTCGGGCGTGACGGCCCCTGCGGTTGTTGGTTCGTAGGCCTCCTTATCCTTCACATCCGCCTCTGCTACCTACAACGCCGAGGAAGCCCAGCGGGCCTAGATCTAGGGCCACGCGGCCCGCCACCAGGACGGCGCTCCTTGATGCGCCACGGCTGTAGGCCCCGTCTCCTTTGGTCGCTCCTTCAGCTCTGACCCCTCCAACATCTTCCTCATCCGCACCGGCTCCGACTTGTTCATATCCAGCCCCTCCACCACCGAAGCTTTGGTTGCCGGGCTCGTTTAAATCACTTGATCGCTTTGGTGTCGGGTATCGATTAGGGATACCGAAGAAGGGATCGAGGACCGCAGACAACAAACTCGCCTAGATAATCGAGGACGATTTCAGTCTCGACCGACCCGAAGGGACGGTTTCCGCTCGCCGGACCCTCGGGCATGGGCCCGTGTCGCCCGACCGAGGGTACGGAGTCATCTCGCCGACCACGAGGGCACGAGCTCCATCTCGCCCGACCCTGAGGGTACGGGCCCCGTGTCGCTCGACCCTGAGGGTACGGGAGCCGTCCTGCCCGACCCTGAGGGCACGGGCTCTGTCCCGCCCGACCCCGAGGGCGCGTGCTCCGTCTCGCCCAACGGGGATCCATACCGCCTTTAACCACTACGGGTCTAAGGGTACGACAACAGAGTCAAACTTCTGAACCGGGAGGGAAGCGGGCACGTCTTGACATGACTCGTGGCCATGTCAGGCCACGCCTAGGGGTTCGCATCGCCAACAATGACGGGTGTGTGGTCACTGTGCTGCCTACTCCTCATACGGTCGCTGACAGGCACGTTGGTTCACCACGCCGTCCACCGGGATGGGATTGGACGCCATGACGAGCTGATGACGTCGAGGCATGGCACCAGTGGTGAACAGGAGCTCGACGTGGAGTTGTCCCCGTCACTATCTACAGCATCAGTGGGACCCACATGAAGGAGAAGAAGGACGCAGCGGCCCCGGAGGCCTTCTTCTCCCTCGCTTTTCTCCTTTTCTCTCTCTATAACCTGCGCCTCCCCATTCACCTATAAAAAAGGAAGCATGATGCCCCACGGTAGAGAAGGAGCACATGGCTGAGCAGCTGAACAAACTCTCAGCACTCTTCAATCCTTTCACCAGAGACCTGGGATCTGCTCCCTCTCTCGCCCGTTTGTAACCCCTACTACAAACTAGTGCCGGTAACACGAGCAGCAGCAGACTGGATGTAGGGACATTCCGCCCGAACCAGTATAAATCCTTGTGTCCTCTGAGCACACCATCCGGGCCAGACGCGTAGATACAAATTTACTAGTCGGTGATCCGAAAAACCGACACCTGGATCTTCCTATGATTGGGGCTGGGTCGCCAGTCGTGAGGAGCCAGTGGGTGGTGGATTCAAGGCCCCTACTAGCGTTGGGAATGGTAGCTCCTTCCTGAGGGTCAACCCGGCGCGTGGTAGGCCACCTCAGGTTGCCCCGCCACAAGCCCACCGTCCTCGCTCTCTCCCTTTGCCTCCCCCTTCCACCAGAGGGGAGCTTAGGGACGCTCCAAGGCTCTTTGTTGGCAAAGGATGGTCTCCTTGGAGCCTCTTATGCACAGTGGTCACCGACCACCTCCCCAACCCCCTACCTCGACGCGATTCGTAGGGAGCAGCAACCGCCAAGGGCATCGCCACTGACTGAGAGAGCCCATCCACGCTCCATCGCGAGGCGAGGCAAAAGCGGCGATCTTTGCCTGGTGAGGCGGCAGCTAGGTCAACGGCGTTAGGGGGGGGGCAAGCACCCCAAGTATCTTCGCCACGCTCGCATGCTCATCCATGTGCTCCCCCTGTCTATGGCTGGGACGTCGACTGGCGGGACCAACCGGGTTGCTGTGATTGTGCATAACGTGTGCCACTACATTTGAGGCTCGGGCCACAGCCTACCTCCGTGCTCGCTGACGCTGCTTCTCTCGCTCTAGACGCCGGCAGATATAGCGCAAGGTCCTGTCACAAAATTGTCGAGATGGCCGTGATGGGGCTCGACTGCAGCGCCCAAAGTGAACCATAGTTCCTCTACCGCTTCCCGCCAGACCTACACGGAAATGACTCAATTGCCTCTCTCTCTCCGCGCAGTGGTGGTGGCAGCTTGCAGTTGCCCCTAGCGCTGCTTGCATTGTAGGGTTTCCGCATCGCTGCTTGCGACCGCAAGCGGCCGTGGTGGCAGCCTATGGCAGGTTCGGCGTACTGGCGGCGAGGGTGATCTTCCTCAACGAGCTACCTAGGGCCATTGTGACGAGCTCTCGCGCGCTCGACCCGACCCACGAAGGTCCACTGGACTCGGTGGAGCTATATATGCTTTGGGTAATCTTTGAGCACGTCGCCGGAGGATGTCAATGCCGGTGTCGGAGATGCCCAAGGAGTGATGGAGCCACGATGGCATCGATTGTCGCCGCCAAGACAGTCATGGCGAGCCATCCAGCAAGATGCGGTTTGTACGGTGCCTCTTTGAGCTTGATCCGTTGACATTGGTGTCATACCGGAATGCCATACACGACGCTCTTAACATCTCGAGAGGACGCTATGCTCGGAGGAGTTTGTAGCCTCGCGCTCGCTGTGAGTCGGACAGCAATTGGCCATTCACTAGGATGCCTCTCCACAACTCCAGCAGCAGCTTCTCCGAAAGACGAGATCATGTCAAAGGCCACATGTGTGTGCACCCGCGCCTTCGGTAAAGGCTGCAAGTGTCCGCCAAGCACGACGACCGCCTTTGGCACTTCTCCGACAATGTGCCGCTCCTCACGCTTTGGTTACGGTGGCATCAGACTCATCTCCAAAGTGCCGCCCGAGCAAGGGCAGCCACAGGTCACATCATCATGGGTGGCGCAGACCATCACCTCGGGAGTCACAAAAAAAGACCATCACCGAGAGCTGATGCATCACGGAGGACGAGGTGTGCTATCCGCCAGCTTTAGTCCGCCGAGCCCACGGTGCATGCTGACCTGCTCAGTAGGCTGCTGTGGCACGCCACCCGGCTGAGGATAGCTATAGCTCTGTTGTACGTTGCCTCAAGAGCTTCACCAAGCGAGTGCTAAAGAAGGTCGACTCCTCGTTAATTCTTTAGCCTCCCAAGCAGCCATCACTGACGTCAACACGACGTATGCTCTGCTCTTCGCGGCTTTAGCAACACTTGATGTCAACACGAGTGCTAAAGAAGGTCAGACATTGTGTGCTGCTCTTCGCGGGCGAGCCACAAGAAGCATGGGTACAGCAGGTGCAGCAGAGTCGATGTCAACACGACGTATGCTCTGCTGTGCTTCACCACGGCGCTGGATGTCTTCGGGATGTTCGTCGGTGAGATGGTGCACTGGCTGCTGTCAGGCTAAAAATTAGACTCCCGCTAATTTTTAGCCCGTGCTAAGCTGTCGCTCCCGTTGTGGAGCAAGCAGCTGGCAACCTAGACCCTCTCTCGAGTACCTGCTTCCAAACTAGGTGAGGTTCTTTTCATACAGCGTTTGGGAAGCCGCACGTGTCATGACGGAAGTCCTACAAGGAGCTTTTCTATGGTAAGTTGATTGCTTCCAACAATCCAACATCAAGCATCTGGACACGCTCTTCAAGGACGCTGGTAGCGGATTATTGTGCGAAACAGTAGATATGTAATCCCATCACTTAGGTTGCATCGCTGTGCATTTCTCGGTTGTATACTATTTGTGTAATATCAAAACTTGAATTCGCATGCTAGGACGGTCCATCCTCCCACTATCATCCTATAGACCATCTATGGTATTCGCCAGAAGCGCGTTGTTTGTATGATTAAATTCTTCTATTTTAATTATAATGATACCAAATCTTATGCGTATCTGAGAAAAAATAACTAATCCATCAACGCTTGCTCTTGTACGGGCTAAAAATTTAGGAAATATAAAATCTTCTGTTACACCTAAAATATAGGTGCAACCACAGTTGGTGCGTGCCCGACGCTCCCACTCTCGCCTAACTCCGAGTCTGATCCGCACTAGGAGGTCGATCTCCATCTAGATCGCGGATCGTCGGGATCGACGCGGTAGGAACGCCGGTTCGTGTGCTAGGGACGACGTCCCAAAAAAACACCGGATCGTCAAGGAAGAAGACGACTGAACCCAGAATTCTAAAACGCCCATTCCCAAATTCAATGAATAAACTTACTTGCATGGTTCTAGGAATCAGGACACATCAATGGGATAAGGCCCGACGGCCGTAGGCAACCGGCGTCGGCGATGCAGTTGAGGCGGAGAGGCGCGGAACTAGCGCTCGAGCTGGGCGGCGTGGCGCGGCAGCCTGGCGCTGGCGGCGGCGCGTTTCATCCTCTCCAAGACCTAATGTGAATGGGCCTACGGGCTGCAGCCCACACGCTACAAGCTGAAATGGATTCGTGTTTTTTCATCACGTCTATACACATTCAGATCTATTCACATTAATGTTCTTTGTGCAATCTAAAATTATGTTGGTAAACATTTATGTAAAAAAATACTGATACTCATCTTGTACCTTTAATTGATTTATTAATTATTTTATTTATAATCGGTCGTTGTTCCATATAGCTACGTTTCCGGTACATCAGTCCAATTATCTAGGGTCGCATTTCAACTCCCGAACCAATCCTCTCGAAGAGATATTATCCATTACAAATCAGCAACTTGAAACTGTCGATCTACGTGCCACATACCCGAGCGAGACAGAAGCGGCCGTGACGCCATGGACGAAGTGGGCCGCGATGAGGCCGGCACGGAGGGAGCCACGATATAAGGAGGCAACAGAAAAAAAAGTAAAATAAATACGAAAAGAATAAAGAAATAAAAAAATGAAAATTGAAGGATACTATCGACATTTTATCGTTGTCAACAAATCAGGACAAGCTATTTACCAAATGCTTCTGTAAAACACCTTCGGCTCCACCGGTGAAGCTGCTCCACCAGCCACTAACCAAAGCAAAAAAAAAAAAATGCTCCACCTGTGAAGCAGAATTGTACCCATGACGTAGTTTGTGAAAATCATAGTAGATCGTGTTACTATACACCAAGCTGGCAAGAAAAATCGATTTTGATACTGAAAGGGCCAGATCAAGCTTGTTTTAATTGGCAGTCCAGAGTTTAGACCTTGTAGCTGCATCGGATGTCCTCCTCGGCTCCTCCAGCGTCATTAAGGAAAAAAAACAGCACCGACCCTCAATCATCCATGTCCGATAGAATCATCCTCCACTCGGAGCTTACGCATCCGCATCCTATCTAGTTTTGCTATGAAAACCGGATCCCCGTGTTAGCGGCCGATATGATTTTTTATTGTTTTATGTAAATCCATCGCCATAAGTGTCAACAAGAAATGCATGGTCTCAGTGCGTAAGTGTCAACAAAAATGTATAGTCCCGGTGCAACGTACGGGTATTCATCTAGTGTATGTAAAAAACTCAAAATATCTTATAATTTGGAATAGAGAGGAGACTAATAACTAGTCCATATTTTTCTGATTATAAATTGTGATAGTTTAAGGGCCTATTTGTCTCAACAGCTTCACGAGCTGTTGTGAGCTATTTTTTTCTTTGCCAAATACTCATTTTCAAAACAATTTCATGGAGAAGCTGTTTTTCTTGTCATCTCACAGAGATATGAGTTAGGATAAAGCTAAAAGAATAACTTATTCTAGCTTCATCTCCCATATATGGGCTCCACTGTGCACAAAAGACAGCTTTTGACCAAGCCTAGAGAGAGAGAACACGCTCGCAGGAGGAGGGAGGCGACGGGGCTTGGCGGGCTAGGGGCACAGCCGCTAGGGCGCCGCCCCCCGGGCACTGCTCGCCGGGCCATGGTTCATTGGGGCACGGCTCGCCGGGGAGGAGGCGAAGAAGATGAGCCATCCACTGATGTCGCATACTCGGCGTCAGGAAGAAGATGAGGAGAGGAAAAAAATGTGGAAGGAGCCACCGTAACCGCTGGGGCCTGCGGGACCAGCGAGCGTTGCGGCCGTTAGAGGCCAGTGAGCCGCCATAGCCGCCGGGGACAAGAGACAGGGCGCATCCGCCTGGGCAGGGCCAGGGTGCAGCCTGCCGAGGGCACGGTCACCGAAGTGCGTGGCCACCGGGCGCAGCCCACAGGGGCGTGCAACCACCGGGGGCGCGGCCGCTAGGGCGTGCTGCCGCCGGGGTGCACTACCAGCTGGGGACGTGGCCACCGGGCGTGAGCAGCTCGGCCGTCGGAACCATTCACGGATGCCGCCTGGGCCACGCATCGACGCATCGTGAGAAACGGCGCCGCTAGATGCGCTCAGGAAGAAGATGGGCGAAAAAAGACCCGTGAGGAGATAAGGAAAAAAAAATAAAGGGCATTTTAGTCATTTATTTCATTTGCTCCATCTTATGAAGCTGTTGTGCCAAACACTTTTTTCAAAACAGCTTAGCTTCACTAAGATAGTTGCTTTTACCGGTGAAGCTAAACTATGGCAAACAGGGCTTTAGTATTTATTTTTTGGTATATTTGGTGAGAATTAACGTGGAGATTCTCGGTTTATGTCTCTAAAGTAATAGTATAAGATAAGATTTGATTGCACTTCTGGGTCGCGGTTGGACGATCGATATTGTGACCATCACGAAAGGAGGGAAACAAAATCATGTTCATATATCGTCTCTAATACGTGAGGCACTTTGGAATATTGCCACGGACATTAAAGGGGGAAGCAAGGTATAGAAACAAAGCTACTACTAGAGTGCGACGGCTTTTCTCTTTTCTCTTTTGTTTTTGACAAAGTATGTATTATTACTGATAATAAAAGTAAAGTAGGGATACTTAAATGTTTGTAACACTGTTCATTAGAAGGCGTGTAAGGGGACATGTATGCAATATAAACACTAGTAATCGGGAGGTCTAACTTCTTTTCAGTGGTACGTAGTGACACACACAGAAAAACTGAAAGAAAAGAGAGTTGTGTGGTCTTATTCGTAGTGATGCAAATATAGACATAGATCCATAGACACATCAAGAGCTATTTCGTCTGGGAAAGATGAGTGACATCTGGAGTGCTGTGCAATGGTGGGACGAGTGGCAGCTTCGCATCCTCGTCCTCAGCAGCCTTAGCCTCCAGTGGTTCCTCGTGCTGGTCGTCCCCCTGCGCAACTACACCATCCAGCGCTGGCTCAGAGCATGCTTCTGGCTGGCGTGCATCTGCGCCGACGTCCTGGCGATCTACGCGTTCGCCACCCTCTTGTATCGCCAGGCCGCCGGCAGGTGGATCAGCAGCTTCGACGACTACTACAGCAGGGCCCAACAAGGGAGGTCCCTGACGCTGGAGGTCCTGTGGGCACCTCTCCTCCTTGTCCACCTGGGCGGGCGGGAGGAGCTCACCGCCAACAACATGGAAGACACGGCGCTCTGGGTCCGGCACGCCGCGGTCCTGGTTACCGTCACCGTGTACGCCTTCTCCACGTCGTTGCGCTACTTCAGCGACAACAGCGACGGCAGGAGGCTGCTGGCGTCGGCGGTCCTCCTGCTGGTCGCCGCGGTCGTCAGCTCCTGCGGGAAGCCGTGGGTTCTCAGGAGAGCCAGCGTCCGCCGGCTGGTGGCCAAGTCGTCGCTGGCGAAAGGAGCGAGGACGACGAAGACGAAGACGAAGACGAAGACGAAGACGAAGACGAAGACGAAGCAGCCTAGCGGCGGGTGGTGGGAGTGGTGCTTCACCGGGCTGGGCGACAGGTACAAGTGCTGGAAAGAGCTGAAGCCCCGCGGCACCGCACCGATGCTGTCGCAGGGAGACAAGGTGCAGATGCTGCTCTCGGGCCTGTCGCTGCACGCCGCTAGAGCAACGCTGGAGACGCGGAAGAAGAAGAAGCCAGATCAGAAGATCCTCGAGCCTCTCAATCCCTGGCGGCGTGAACAGCATCAAGCCCTGGAGCCCTCAGAAGTTGACAAGATCATGAAGCCCTGGCTGCGCCAAACGTTCGGGCTCATCTACACGAGGGAAGCCGCGATGTTCACGCCGGCGTACCTGGCCTGCCACGCGCTGCTGGTGCCGTCCCTGTACGTGGCCGCCACCGTGCTCTTCTTCTTCGCGGTGGACTACAAGAAGCATGGGTACAGCAGGTACAGCAGAGCCGACGTCAACACGACGTACCCTCTGCTGTGCTTCACCGCGGCGCTGGATGTCTTCGGCATGTTCGTCAGTGAGATGGTGCACTGGCTGTTGTCGTCGTCCGGTGGAGCGTCGTCGTGCGAGAACGTGCCGGGGCATAACCTCATGGACTCGGTTCTCTGGACGATCAGGAGGCCGAGAGTGTCCATGCTGCTGCTCTGGTGTTACAAGGGAGGTTCTTTCGTCAAGGACAAAGATCGCCTGTACGGCAAGGTGGAAGACGAAGACAAAAACAAAAACAAAGACGACAAGGTGGAAGACAAAGACATCATCATAAACAAGGTGAACATCATCTTAAACAAGGTGTCAGAGAAAGACAAAAACAAAGAGAATTTCGACCTCGACCTATCCAGTTACAGAAGCTTGAGCAAGCGCAACTGGATTCTCAGGGACAAGGACCTGGAAGTAGTTCACGGCAACAAGTACCAGAACATCCGGGCCAGTCTGCGTAAGAAGCCGTTTGACGAGAGTGTCCTCATCTGGCACATCGCCACCGACCTCTGCTTCCGCGTCAAGTCTCCCGACTACTTCCGCTTCAGGCCACCGCCTAAAGGGGTGGTTCGTGAAGTGTGCACGGAGGCGATATCCAATTACATGGCCTACCTCCTGGATTTCCAGCCCGAGATGCTGATGGCCGGCAGCAGGCAACATCTCTTCACCGAAGCCATGGCAAACATGGAGTGCGTCATCAGAAAAGCCACCAAGGGGTTGAGGCCCAAGCTCAGAGAGAAGCAACCGTTGGATGACGTGATCCTAGGCAAGATCAAGGAAGAAGCAGAAAAAGAGGCGTACACCGTCATTGACGACGCTTGCAAGCTCGCAAAGGAGCTGCTGGGCATCCAGGACCACGAGACCCGGTGGGAGCTCATGCACCGCGTGTGGGTGGGCATGCTCTGCTACTCTGCCAGCATGTGCAGGAGCGACCTGCATGCCAAGAGCTTGGGAGAAGGCGGGGAGTTCCTCTCCAATGTCTGGCTCCTCATCTCACTGATTGGGGGTAGGACCTTAGCGGACAAACTCCAGATGCCTGATGACGACCCAGAACCAGAAGGCAAGGTGGTCGAGGATCCAGCAAAGGACAAGGGAGAACAAAAACCAAAACCAGAAGCAGCAGGTTCAAGTGCTCCTACTCTTATTTCAGACAATGGCCTTGGGCATTTTTATAGGAATTATTTACCTGTTTGCTTGCTTCCTATTTGCAGACAAGGATCTTCAGACGCGGGACTCGGAATCAAAAGACGAGCGGCGTAGTAAGGCTGCCAATATTTTTAGGTGCTCCTATTCCTATTTCTTCAGAGTATGGCCTTGAGCTAGCTTTTTATTCATTTTATTGACCTATTTCCTTCTTATTCGCAGACAAGGTTTTGATGCTGGACGGGTATGAGCTCCGCAATGTGTTTTTTGTTGGTTGATTTACCATACATGTTTGCTTCCCTTAATCCCTTATCGCTCAAATGGCTAATATTTTGTGCTAGTGTGTGCTACATGTATATTTGCTTGTTTGTTTAATTTGTTGCCGCAACAGTTTCATGCATGTCCTTAGGTTGCTATATGCGTGATGTTTGTGGCCGTTTGCGTGTTCATTCAGTCATGGTTTGATAATCTGAGTCTTCAGCTCTGGTTTTGTACTTTGTACCCGCGCAGCCAGCTGTGACGAGTTGAAATTACAATATGAGTGATCCTTGTTCTCTTCAATGCAATAGTTAGAATCTGTTACCAATTGTTAAGAGCAAGTCTAAGAAGATTAGAGAGTGCACATGGACAAAAACCCTGTCCGCAAAAGCCTTTGGTGTAACACCCCCAGAACCTCCCTTAAGATGCCACCACAAGAGATAGAAACTAGAGCGAACAACATATAGAGAGGTATAAATAAGCTCGGTCAACGTATAGCGAGATATAAATAAGCTCAATCAACAGGATAGAACATCCTAACGAGCAGATCATCATCAACAAAAGTCTAGAAAAGACTTCCCAACAACAACCACCGACCAAAGTTAAGGTTAACCAAGACTCTAAGCAGCCCCCCCTACCCATATTGCAGCAGTGGAACCCCCTGTGGAGCCCCATGAATTTTTAGGCAAAGTTCTATAGTGTAGGGGGGCTGAGACTTAAGATCGAACAACAATGTTGTTCAGCCCCCCTGAAATATTTTCTGGGTCCGCCGCTGACTCTAAGTTCTAGTACTATTATCATAACATCACAAGTTTTTACATTAAAAGATGACATGAATGTGCCGAGTGTGCGGCTACTTTCTCACCCTTCAAGGAAAAGCCACCTAAGCGTTTGGAAAAATAGACAAAGGGTGCGACAAAAATCTCAACAAGTAAATTGTTTTAACAAGATTTTTGAAGGACAAATTCATTAAGCATCGATTTAAACCTCATGTATGGTAAAGATTAACCACCACCAAACCTTGGAGAAGCATAGTTTGTCACAAGCTCACCCAAAGCCTTAGTTCAAGGCTTTCATGTCATAGTCCAAAATTATAATCACTACTGCATTCATGTGTTTTCCCAGATGCGCAAAAAAGGATTTTCGAAGGCGGGCATCACGTCTGCCTGAAATTAAAGGTCTGAGTTAATCAGAATCTACCAATGAGGTCATATGGCTACCTGGGTTAATCAATAAACAAAACAAAAAAGTCAGCAAGCCCGTTGATGGGGTCTACTAAGCCAATCGAAGCACCGCCACTGCTGCTCGTCGGATCCGCTTGCGCCGTTGCCGTTGCTCAGATCCGGACAATGGGCCGCCTTCGCCATGAGCACCTGCGGCCGTGCCGCTGCAAGAACGGGCGGCCGCACCGCCACGCGGGTGGAGAGAGGGGCGCCGCACGGGAGAGAGAGAGTCGCCGCGCGGGGGAGAGAGGGGCTTCGCGTCGGAGAAAGAGAGAGAGGGGCGCCGCGCGAGGGAGAGGCAGGGGCACCTTGTGGGGGAGAGGGATAGCCGCCTTGCAGGGGAGAGAGCTGAGAGCGAGAGCGAGAGAGAGAGATTGAAGTGAGGAAGAAACCCTAACTCCTCCGCCCGGTAGATGGATAGATATGGGCTTTGGCTAGGCCTTAGGCATGTTTACATATGGGCCTTTTAAGAGGCCACCTCCAAAAATGGTCTTTATTTTTGAAGATGGATCTCTTAGGAGGCCCGCCTCCATAAATCAATTTTAGGAGGGGCACGATTTTTGACCGCTTCCGTAAATCTATTTTTAGAAGACAGACAATTTTTGACCGCCTTCGTAAATAAAACATCCACCTCCGAAAATCCTCACGTATTTTACAAGACGGTTGGATGGATTGCCTCCATTAATGATTGGGCAGTGTCTTGCAAAGTCATTTATGTAGTAGTGAACGCATATGCAATGCAAATGCCATGTCTCCTGCCTTTGTACTCAACAAGGTACGAAGCTGCACCGTTATGCCCAATAAATGATGTTGTATAGGTCGAGGCTAGCAACCAGTGACATAACTCCTTATGCCAATGAATGAATGAGATGCAATGCAAGTACTAAAGGCAAGAATCATAGTCCCCGTATAATATCAAGAGCATCTTGCCATGCGGATAACAAACCTCCACTACAAGAAGTATGACCTTCTACGACGATTTTCTCGTGACGACAGCTAAATTTGTCGCTAAGTCATTTTGTTTTACGACGTTATTTGGTGGGAGTATGACTTTACGACAAAAATTATATGTCCGTCACTAAGATCTAGAAGCAATCGTCGTAAACCGAAGGATTTCGATATTACGATGAGTTGCAATTTGTCATGACATGGTAATAGACAATCGTCGCAACTTATGATTTGAATTTTAACATGATAAGCTCAACTTCACATATAATATTTTGAATTACAATTTTCTTGAATTATCCAAACAACATTGGATGGAGAAACGACTAAAACCAAATGTTCTATATCTCGATGAGATCAACAATATCTAGACTACTAAAGAAAAATATCATCTATTTAGTCTCAAATGACTTTGAGGTGGAGTGATTAGGGGTGCTACACGTGAGGTTGCAAGTTGGAGGTTCAAATCCCATCAGCCATACGCATGTATTTTTCGCGCGAAAAATACGGCGACTTGCTCGTGGCTATGAGATTTCAATATTTTTTCTTTTCCATCCTTAATTTTTTTCTGTTCTAAAAAAGAGCCCATTAGGCCCAGCAGCTTAATAAACCTTTAATTTTTGTATGTTCTAAAAAACAGCCCATTAGGCCCAGCAGTCTCACTAAACCCTAGCTCTCTGGATCCCAAAGCAAAAAAACCATCCGCCGCTACTACGCTCGCATCTTCTCCCGCCGACTCTGGGAGCAAAAAATTCATCCGCCGACGCTGAGCGCAAAAAAATCATCCGCCGGCCACCATTCTTCTCCCGCCGATGCCTTGCGCTCCCTCTTTCTCCCGGTGAAAACTGTCCCAAAATTTTCTCCTGCCGCCGTCTATTTCTATCCCGCCGGCGCCACATGCTTCCTATTTCTCCCAAATCTAAATCGCCGCCCCTCACTCCGCCCGCCCGCTTGACCCCGACGTAGCAGGGCGCTGGCCCCTCACTCCGCCCGACCCGAGCAGGCGCCGCCCCCCACTCCTCACGCCTACTCAAGCAGCAGGCACTGTCCGTCAGAAGGTGCGACCCCCTCTCTGCCCCGCCAGTAGCCGTGACCCCCTCCCCCCACTCCACGCGCCACTTCGAAAGGTGGGAGCACCATGGCTCCTGGTCGGAAGGTTGGAGCAAGCAGCCAGCAACTAAGAGGTAAACAAACTCGTGAAAATCTGTTGAAATTTTTGAGTATAAGAGAACAGAACAAGTATATACATGAGGTTCATGAGATGATTTTTGCAGATAAAAACTGGCAAGCTGAATGCTTTGTACCATTGATTGTTCCATTTCCATGACATCTTGCACCAAACTGACTTCCTTATTGATTGAATGTGGTGAACATGAATTGTCTTCCCTGTCCAATGTACCAGTAAGCAAATATTACTATCAGAAGAGCCCAAACAAATTCACTAGAGCCATTAAGTTTTAAAGTAAGTTCTGGGGGAAAGGGCACACCTCAGGTTGTGGTTGCTTGCTTCCAAGGGGGGCAGATGCGGTTAGGTTCTGTTCATCCGCCATTGAGTTCAAGCCACTCTGTAGCAGTGTATGGAAGTGATTAGTATCTGCTGATTCATCAATTTTTGCAATGATTAAAAATCATGTTTCTGTTCCTGGTGCTTAATCACAGTTTGTTCTATTTCTAGCTAATTCCTTTTTTTGTTCATCTTGGTCTGTATCATATTTTCAGATATCACTTATGTGGCTTGTAGTCTGAATCTAACAGATAGATCTCATGTTAATATTGTCCTAATTTAGGATTAACAAGGCATCATAATTCACATGAGTTCTGGGGCAACGTATTGTTCCTTGATAACAGTGGATGATCTTGGGATCATTTTTTCATCTTTCAGAATTTTTTGAAAGCTCGGCTTAGATAAATCAATCTCTGTTTGTCCTGACTTGATGCATCCTTCGCTGGACCAGTAAGCTACCTGATGCTAGAGAGCCTGTCCAGCAGCAGCAGCATACAGTTAGCTTATCTCTGTAATCTAGCAGCAGCAACAAAGATTCTAGAGCCTGTCCAGCAGCAGCATATATGTAGGCTCTTGGGTTTTACATAGGCATATAATCTCATTAAATTCCAACCTTCTAACTATTCTCAAATGATTTTTATAGAGGCGCCTATTACTGAATATGAGCGTTCAAGGAATGAAGAAATAATGAAAAACAACTGAGAGCTGGAGAGGCTTGTATCAAGACATTAGTGCCCATAGTGAACAATACATCTGTGGAGAGAAAGGGTGAAGACAATGAAGTTTCTGGATCGCAGTATACAGGTCAGGAGAGTGAGGACTGTGAAGATGAGGAGGTTATTAGCAAGGTACCAATTCTGCTTGTTTTTTTGCCTAATGAGGCTTTGCAGGTTGCTGGTTGTAACTTTTTCCTTGTATTATGTAGGCCATGCAGAGGAGCATTTTGTCAAAAAATACCATCAGGAATATTGTCGGAACAAGAGGCTCAAAGAGAGTCTCCATGCCACCTGTTGGACAAGAGCAAACCACTAGAATGACTAGACAGAGGATGAGGGAACTATCAACTGAGGAAGGTATCCATGGTACAACTACAAATGCACAAGAAGATGCATTGCTTGCTGTTGACTATTCTACACAAGATGATGAGCAGATTCAAACAGGCTGTGAAGGCAAGAAAACATTGCTCCTCTCCAAGAAATATGATTTGCCTATTTTCATGAAAAATTTATGATGTGTGCTAACCGTGAAAAGCTTATTATTTTCAGGTGAACCAAGTGATAACTTGATTACTCAACGCAGCAGGGGCAGAAGTATGGGTAGAGATTTGGACATGATATGCCATGGTTTAAACAGTAAGATGCCGTTGGTTATTGGTAAAGGGAAAAGAAGGCCAGAGGCACCCATGCAAGCTGCAAAGCTTGCATCAGAGGGAGGTATTATATTGAGGCAACACATACCAATATATACACACTGGAAGGAGTACAAGAACGATGAAAATCCTTTTAAAGACTACATGGGAAAGATGGGTGTAAGTAGAAGAAAGTCTTTTCAACAACACAATTAATGTTCTCTTTTTTGTTATGGTTTGAATGCCTCTTTTTCTAATCTACGTGCTCTGGACATGCTCTTCACTAGATCAAATTTACCATAGACCCTAAAGACAAGGAAGTAGAAGCTGCATGCTTTGATTTGCTCAAGACTGGACAACGACAATTAAGGCACAAGCTGAAGAGGGCTTACTTTGATGGAGTACCTGCAAATGAAGTGAGAACAACATCTCCGGTGAGGAGTATGACTGATGAACAATGGATTGCACTCGTGGAGCTATGGTCAAGCCCTAAGCATAAGGTATAGAGTTCCTTCCATTCATTCTTGGGCATGCTTGGTTTCTCCAGGAGTACATCAAGATATTTAATTAGATATGTATGTGCATTGTTCTTTTTTTGAAACGTCCAGTACGTTGCATGAAAAAACTTCCAGTTGTTGTCATATAATGTAAATTGATTCTTGTTTGCCGCATTATTTTACTTTACTGTTCTGAGTCATTTACGCAACATTCATACTATGATATATCTTATAGGAAAGGTGTGTCAAAAACATTGAGAATCGTGGGAAAGTTCGGTTCGCTCAAAGGACAGGATCTAGATGCTTCATTGCGCACACCCATGTCCTGGTAAGATACAAAATATTATATGTGTGTGTTCAATGTTTATTCTGTGTTGAACTATTTTGTAGATTCTAAACTAACATTTACAAATTGTTTGCATGTTAATTCAGAAACAAAATAAATATAAAGATGTGGCGCCCACTGCAATCGATCTTTTCAAGGAATTACACTGCAACAGCAAGACCGGTTTTTGTGAGCCTGTGAAGGAAAATATTGTAAGTACATGTTCTAAATGGACTGTTCTAGACCTGATAAGGCTGCAATATATCCTAATGACAACATAGTAGCATTGATAGGAAGTACTACTACCAGAATTTAGTCTATCCATGACAATGAAATATGCAAACCATGTGAATCTGCAAAACTAAAATTTGGATGGAATTATTTCTAGAAGTTCAAATCATCGAGCCAAAACTAAATTGAGCCGTACTCTAGAATTTATTTATTATAACTGAAGTGGCCAAAGGTTCATAGCAGAAGCAGGTCTGCAACCTACAAAACTTTGCATACTTTTAGTAGTGTCCTTCAAGCAGCAGGTCTGCTGGTTTGTAGCATCTAGCAGCAGGTCCGCAGGTTTGTAGCAGCATCAGATAATTAGCTATGTTGCTATATGGATGTTCTTCTAGTAGTGTCAATGTGTCATTGAAGTAATGTCCCAGAGTGAACTAATGTAGTATGTTTTTCAGGCTGCCATAATTCAGAATTGCATAAAAAAGTATACAGGAGGGTTATCCGGTTATGCAACTATTTTGAACTAATGTTGAGAGTATGAGAACAAACCTTATTCAAGAATTCTCGGATTCCCTGATAGGAGTCGTTTGTGAGAAGTTTGACTGCAATCTCTCTCCCATCAGCCAGCTTCCCATAGTATACTATGCCAAAGCCTCCAGAGCCAATTCTTCTCTCAAATTTGTCTGTAGCATCTTCAATTTCAGATAAAGAAAATCTGTGTGCTGATTCTGTAGCTACTTTACTAAAATATGAACCAAGTTTTTTTGCTGGTGCTGCAATAACAACAGGGTCTGGAGATGGCAAAAGAATCACTGCAAGCCCTTTCCCTAGCATAATATCGATATACCAATTGAGCTAAAGAGTGTGTACCTTCATGAGATTTCTTCTTTCTCCTACATGTAATGAAATAGCATCCAATAGCAATACCCAGTAAGACAATGGCTCCAATCACCACACATATAACAATTATGGTGTGGCTAATGCCATTGCTTACTATGTGAAGGCCACTGTTGCCTGAGAAGCTGCAGCCATATAACAATTTAGAATTGAAAAACATGAGCAACAAAATTATCCGTACTAGTTCTAGCTTGTTTTCTCATCAAATGTAGTATGTTTTTCTATTCAGTCAGTGATTGCTTGAATTTTTTTCCATATTTGTATACTAACTATAATGCAAACTATTTTTCTTAACATGTTAGGACCAAATGGATACCATGATGGCTCAGCCTACACCAGAAGGGGAACAACCAAAGACTCATGCTGAAGTTGTTGCTCATGTTTTGCCATCAAGTAAATTTCTTCGAAATGTTGGCCTTGAGACAACAGTCCCCAAGAGAAGCGCTACCACTGCTGCACGTGTACAAGAGTTGGAGGCTGAAGTTGCGGTAGAGAAACAAGGTGCTGCAGCACTTAGAGACCAACTTCATGGTCAGCAGGATGAGTTGGAAGTGTTGAAGAAGAAGGTTGAGGAATCAGAGGAAGCAAGGGAGAAGCAGGCAGAACAAATTGAAAATTTGAAGAAACAAGGAGAGGAAACCAATGCTCTTCTTCGTCGGTTGTTCACCTTGAACAAGGACTAGGTCACTCCTTACCCTTTTATCCTACTGATCATGATGCATGACCTAAACATGGCTTGGATATGTGGCTGTTTATTTATTTTGGTACATGGCTTGGACCTGGTAATGGTTTGCATTTGGTTGTCTATTTGGTAATGCCTTGGATATGTGGCTGATGATTTTGCCACTTGGTTGGATCTGGTAGTGACTTGGACATGAGTTTAATGTATTTTGCGTTGAGTTTGACATGTCAAACTATTTGAACATGTAACTCTGAATGGATCTACGATGTAATGGATGTGAGCACTTTAAATTTGCTTGATGGTTGTCTATTGATTTCTATCTGCAATGCTGTGATGGGTTGTATATTGTTCAATGGACTTCAATGTGTATTGTATGCTGCAATGTGCCATGTCAAAACCTGCCGCATCATATGACAAAAACATTTTACGACGATTTTTTTGTCCTACGTGGCACATGTATAGTCATCTAAGGTCAATTTTTTTGTGATGTTTTCTCTACATGATAACGACGAAAATTGAACGTCGTAAATCAACGACGCATGTATGATCGTCGCAAAATTACGACGATAATATTAGTTTTGTCGCAGAACACCTTTAGCTACGGGGAATAAGCGACGGATGCATTTTCGTCGTGCATTCGTCGTAAATTGTGAAATACGACATAATTTTCACTTTCTGCGACATAAATGGAGCGTCGCAGAAGGTCATACCTCTTGTAGTGCTCATTCCATTCTACTAACATGAGCATCATAAAACCACAAGTAGAGGAACAAAGACATCCACATAGAAAGCATAGAGGACAAGTCAAAGTGATTAAAACGTGGTTTGAAGGCCATATAATGTCTGCCATGGTTCTAAATTCTTACAGTAGACATAGAATAAATAACAAGTTAGAGCTTGTAGCAAACCACTACTACGTTTGCTTGCCTCCAATAAGGCATGACCGCTCTAAATGCGATCCGGAGCACTACTACCTTCTTTAACAGTATATGATAGAAACCTCATAGTAACAAGATGGTACAGTAGGTAAAGCACTCCTACACCCCAATCCGGCATCCAAGCAAAACAAAGAACAAAGCACCAAGCCAATTGCAGCAGCTGCTTCACCTTTTTGTATCATTCAATCCATTAAGGCTTTGATAGCAAACAATACACTTTTGGAATCTACACAACAAGGCCTAAAACTTTTATGCGGAGATTGTATTTTTATCATGCTTTTAACATGGGCTAAACTGCCATTGAAAAGAGATTTCAGAAACTGCTCTAGAATTGATACAACAAGCATCATATTTTCATACCTCCCAATCCTTATGTCTAAGAATTATGAAATTTAACTAGTTAGCAGAGACTTCCATAACCTAAAACTTTGGTATTATGCACTTTTGCATAAATTGTCAATTAAATGACCTAAAGTGTGACCCAACCTTAACTGAAAATCCTGTTGACGAAACAATACATCTGACATTAAACTTCTATACCTGGAGTTCTCCTTATCAAAAAATCATGATCTTTACTAATATGGAAATCTAATAAAAATTACTGCAAACTTCTCATATTTTGAAAGTATAATAACACATATAAGGATTTCAATAGGGGATGACTAGCGCTGAGACGTCCAGCCCTAGCAGCGCGTCCGGACGCAGCTCCCACCAGCCAACTGTGACTCGATATGTGGGCTTGGTCTGGCAACGCAAACAGTATCCTGCCCATCAACTTGAGTCCAACAGAAGCCTATTTCAGCCCGCATAGCATAAGGGTAGAGCGTGCGCTCGCATCTACACCGCCATCCCCTCCACTGCCCCCCCCCGCCCCCCCCTCTATAGTTTGAGAAGGATGCATGGCAGCAGAAGGCGAGGAGTACACCGAGGCGTGGCAGCAGAAGATGAGTTGGGAGATACAACACCCGATCTACTTTTGAAAAATCCAGATACAACACTTGCAACATATGTCTCAAGATAGATGAAACACTTGAACCATGCATCCAAAACACTTGCCAAAAAAATACTTTAAAACCATTGTAAGACATACGCAACATCCAGATAAAATAGTTGCAACATATGTGTGAAACATACGCAACATTCAAATAAGCACACTTGCAACATACGTCTGAAAAAACAGATGAAACATTGGAAACAAAAGCTTGCAACATACGTGTACAACCATTGCAACATCTTGATGTAGTTTTACAAGATTCATATGAAACAATTGCAACATACTTATGAAACATTTGAAACACATGAAACATAGGCTTGCAACATGTGTTTTTCACCCTTCTTCTTCTGTACGACACAGTGCAGAGCAGGGGAACTACTGGTACCAGCCAGCTAGTGGCCGAGGATGGTGGTGCGGCCTAGCAGCGTCCAACTACGCCTGTGCCTAGCCTAGGCTCGGCCAGCAATGGCACCCTCTCCTGGCCGCCTGGCCTAGGCATGGCAAAGGACGAGGCACGACATGTCACGACGGAGGACGAGGCACAGCATGGCACGGCGGGGGACAGAGGCGCCAGGGGGATGGTGGCGGCGGTGCGCCGGAGTGGGGCATGGGGCGGGATGGAGGCACCGTGGGGGCTAGGATGTCGGCGGCGGCGCCACAGAGTGGGCGTGGCGCAACGCAAAATGGGACGCGCGAGAGAGGCGGAGTGGGACGAGTGTGGGTAGTTTTTTTTTGATAGAGCGTGTCTGGACAGACGCAGGATGGACACCTGCAGTGGAGCATTAGCAATTTTGAAAACCTCCTAGAATCCAGTTCTATCCAGAATTTTGGCAGAACATGACAGCTACTTTTGAAATTATATATCTCTGAAACCGCTTGGGATAAAATCCTGACATTTCACAAGTTAATAGGTCTGAAGGTCCTATACAACTTTGTAGTTCATTACAACATTTAATTGAGCCTCCAATTAGCTCTAATTGCTCCCCCAAGCAAAGCTACTGGAACTGCACAACTGAAATCCGAGGAAAGACATCCCAACAACTTTTCTTCCCTCTAATCCACTTAGACCCTTGGCCAAACTCCATCATAGAAATCTAATTAGTGTGGGGAATGATGGAATCCTACTCACCTTGGTGACCCACAAATACTAGGGCAGCGTTAAGAGATAGGGAAGGACTGATCTACATGAAAGATGCACCTCTTCTTGCTCCTCTTGTTGTCCTCGATCTGTTTTGCTAGTCCCCCCCAAGGATTTGGTGTTGTAGAGAGGGGATTAAGGGAAGGGCAACCATGGGAGAGGACGGAAGGATCAGAGAACATAAGAAACAAAAGGAGTGGCTGTTCTGGAGAAGATGAATGAGAGAGGGAGGGGATAAAAGGGTAGGGAGAGTTGGGATATTCAGCTGGGCTTGGGCTTGCACAACAAGCACCCCCTTTTTTTAAGTTTTACATTTGGTCTCTATTTACAAATAGGAGGGGGAAGATGATGTTTTACACATGTTTTCATGGTTGTGCTAATTAATATTTACAATTATCAGGCTCATACTTTATGACCAGCCCCTTGTATACTTACAAATACGCCCTTATATCTAATATATGAGACTTTTTCTTTCAAGAAGGGGATCCCTAGATTATGACACACCACAATAGTAGTCTCCCAACTATTTGGTTTTCGTTGGAACAACAAGACCTAGCAACTACATCTACTAGGAGATATTATGGCTCTGATATTAGCTAAAATGGACCACGATTCCACAAACAAAATCCATGACCATGTTTAGGGTCGAGATAACGGAGTAGAGGGGGGTTGAATAGTCATTTCTAATTCTAATTGCGATGGCTAGCCAATATGAATGCATAACTAAACTAATCGGTCTAGTCAAGACTACACCCCTCTATCTATACCTAATACTAAAAAGGCAAAATTTCTGGCTTGTTTTTTTCGTCCAGCCTTACCCAAAGCCGGCTCGGTCTCGCCTCCGTTCACGACGGTTACGTTAACATTGCCGAGTTTAGGAGTGGGGAAGAGAACAGAAAGAAATACCGGGTTCCAGATGTAAAAATTCCAGAGATAAAAAAGGTGGAAGGGCCTTAATAGTTTTTGAAATAAATCAGGATTCCTGATGCAAAATGTCCAGATCCAAGTGGGCCTTTCCTGGTGAGCTTCTTTTTCAACCTGAGCTGAATCCTTGTAGTTGGATCGGCTTCCTTGTGAGCTAGACCAAGCCCATGCAAGCCTTTTTCCTTTTCTTTCGTTTTTCTCTTTTTCTATAAAAACAAAGATCTTGCAAAATTCATCAAATATCATAGAAAAATTAGAAAAATGCCAAACCAGTTTTGTTAGCTTCATAAAAATGTGATGTATCCATAGATGTTATGAATCTTGCTAGGTTATGCTTTGTATATTGATGTGTTAAATCATCCTTGCATATTTTGCATGCATATAGGTTCGGCGATGACTGAAAACGTGCCAGTGGCTGACCCGAAATACGCGGAGGTAGCCAAGGAGTACCAGAAGGAGTTCCTCATCGTCGGTGTTCCTAAAGCCTTCACTAACTTTTCACTATTCGGTTGTAGCCGAAGGCAAGCCCCGGTGCATAACTCCTACTTTTCAGCACTTATTATGTTTGTTTATGCATTAAGTTTTGATTTGAGGATAAGGATTTACACCATATGGTGTAGTTTTGATTAGAAATAAAACTTATTTTTATTAAAATATGGATTAGTTAATGGTACAACTAATTATTTTATGAACCGGAATCTTAGACAGATTATTAACTAATGAAATCTAAACAAATATATTTATGTAATTCCTGACAAGGACTGCTGTGTGAAAATTTAAGATAGGTCTCAATCATTGGCAGACAGACCAATCCTTGACACATCGACAAAAAAATTACAGAGATTGATATGATGCATCAAAAAAGCTGAAAATATCTATATTGAGTCATAGAAACACATGGGTATTATGAAAAATTAAAGTTATGATATATTTATAGCTAAATAATTATGCGCTTTACAATGAAAGGAAAAATATACCAAGGTATATTTTAATTTGATACAGGTTTAATTGGACAATGTTATTTTTGTCAGCATTAACTTATATTATGGATGTCATAGCCATCACTAAATAAATTATAAAAGGATAAAAAATAAGTAGATAGGTACCATTCACGTTATCGTTTTGCATGAATGTTTAATAGTTTTTTCTCCCGTTGCAATGCACAGACATATTTACTAGTATATATAAGTTTACAAGTACCTTACAAAGTGTCAGGGTAATGATACCCCGGGTATCTTAAGGCACCAATTAGATAGCCACTCGGGCGGCCCATAATACACCAGCCAGTATAAGCCCAAACGATCGAGGCCCAGCTAAGCTGAGCGGACCTGGCCAAACACTAAGGCCAGGGTCCGCCACGCCCCCTTCCTTCTGCCTTAGCTGCGCGCTACGCAATAACTCACGAGATCTCACAGTCTCGACTCCTAGGAGGAAGGGGAGAGATCGAGCCCACCAAGCACGCCTGCTCTGATAGGAGCAGGCACGCCGCACTGACCCTGCAAGGACTGAGGGGACAACAGTCACCTCAGCCTAGTCAGACGCCATCCCTACGCCACACAGCAGAGACAAGAGAACACCGCCAGGCGGTGACGGCCAGTACGGAGACCCAACATCCAAATACGGCCCGATGAGACATTTGTACGATTCCACCCACCACGGGATGGGATCCATGATGGTGCCCTTGACTCAGAGGTTACCCAAGCCAGCAAGGACCACGACCCCAGAGCCCAAGATCGTGGCCACCAACTCCACCAACAGCAAGGCGATCGGCAACCCGGGGGCAGCTACCGAGTCCTGTATGACGCCCCTGGATGCTCAGGAGGCGATGACAAAGGCCATGGCGAGACCACATCTCACAGGACAGATGGCGAAACCCCATCATGCCCACAGTGCCGCCATGACCGACACTGTAGCACCACGTCACACCATGCCTAGATGTGGGCACAAGACTATGATGACAGCCACGCCCGGACGTGCACCACAAGATGGTGTTACTTGCAAGCCAAGTTAGCTAGTCCCCCTCTCTCAGGCTCACAACCCCTCAGTAGGGAGAACCTCCTTATTTGTACGTGACCTAGCCCCGGACTCTATATAAGGATAGCCAGGGCACCCTTCCCAGAACATCTTCATATCTTCACACTTTCTGGGCTCTCGAAGCTTTCCTTTAGGCAGTCCGTCTTCTAGCTCTAGCTCTCCTACCTCTCCACCATTCTTGCACCCCCATTGTAAGAACTTCAGAGCATTCAAGCGAGGTACACACACTCGATCATCTCTGAGACTGGACATAGGGCTCTGGCCTGAACCAGTACAACTCCTCATGTCTTTTGGATCCTAGCATCGTCTTCCTGGAGCAGCGCGACATTCATATAAGTTCACTAGTCGGTCTACAAAACACCGACACAAAAAGTCATAAACAAGGTATGTCTAAGGTGCTGAGCTAGTGGGAGCTCATCTAAATAGTTATAGTTAGCAAGGTTACATAAACCTACGCAACTAGTCAACTAAGCAACCAGGAGCTCCTACACATACTAGTGAGCACAACTGCACAAGCACAAAGCAAAAGCTACACTAGCACTACTCACTAGCTAAGCTACACAAGCTAAAACTAGAGAACACCTAATTAGCTACACAAGCTAACTAGCACAAGAGCAAAAACACTAGCACAAGTAATGAACAAGTAATACTAGTGATGAGGATTGAAAACCAACGGTATCTGTGACCCCTACAAAGCTGAGCCTGCTACCGGTCTATGTGGCCCATGAAAGCGCCCAATATCAACTTCAGGGTATGTAATAAGTTGGAAAAACCAAGCTCCTCATTCTCACCCATCCACCTACAACCTCAGGCACTGCCCTTATCCCACTTCTCCTTCTCACCGTTGTCACCCATACCCGACACCAACCGACGCCCCAACCTCACTCGTGATGCCACTTCTCCACCCTCGACCACGATAGTGCACGTATTAGGTTCCCCTTCCGGCCCTTTTATGGCAGCCCATGCAGGCTTGTGGTCTCTCTCTCCCTATCTCATCTATCTTCGATGGTTGCTAATTAATGTGGAGGAGGTGGCACGCGGTTGCACGGAGTCTGCCGTAGGCATCACGCACGGGCTCCCATCCTAGCCCCTTCCCTACGTCGCTCACAGGATCACCATCCCTCTCTCCTCATCTCCTCTCTTTCTAATGGTTCTAAGGAAAAGGAGATGGCATGGTCACATGGAGGCTGAGGCGGACCATTATATGAGCGAGGCAGGTCAATGGTGGCATGGGTGTGGAGGCCAAGGGCATCGTGGAGGAGGCTTAGGCTGGTGGTGTCGCCCAAGTTTCAAGTAAGGATCTCATATCGAGATATGGGTCGATTCGCCCATATTCGGGCATGATAGTGCCTGTCTGTATACTGTAGTGGAGAAGACAACACATGTGGATGCTGTGCTTAGCGGTGGTGATGAGCTCAACAACGGGTTCAATGATAGATGGATTTGGTCAACGACGGTGCGGACGGGACCGCGAGACGCTGTTAGCTTCCCTCCATCCCAATGTGGGCATTAACAAGTGGCGAGCGGAGGACTAGGAGAGGAGCATCGATGGCACCGGTAGGTGCAGATCTCAGGAGCATGCTCAGAGATGGGCTCCAGGCAGGCTCCGCGATGGGACAGTGTGACGGCCCCAGGACAAGCCCTAGGCTGCATTTTTTTGGTTTTATTTTCTATTTCTAGCTCCGCCATCTCTTATTAACAGAGACCATGTGCTACAAGCGGACAGTGCGTTTCTGCCTCTGTAACTTCAGTTTGCCCACCTCTAAAGATCCATATCATACTAGTGTTGGCACAAGCACCGCACAATAAATCAAACATCCTGTTACAAAATGCAGTCATGTTTATTAGTTATACTAATTCAAAAGTGATTGTGTAGTGCAGTTGTAGTGAAAATTCACGACACTCGCCTCTATTTAGTCGATTTACAGAGATGGCTTGACTGCCACCCGTGGAAATAGTCCATTAACAGAGATCATTCGAGCCACGTTGTCTATGTTGACAGAAAATGCCTGCCTCTGAAAATATAATACTATTTGTTGTTAATTCCAAATCATGACTAAGGCCCCGTTCGCTTGTCTTAAATTTGGCTTGTTCGGCTTGTTTTTTTCAGCTGGAACAGTGTTTTTCTCTCACAACAATTCAGCCGGAACAGTGTTTTTTAGCCAGTTTCAGCCAAAGTTCAGACCAGCGAACGGGGCCTAAATGAAGGTTGGAGCCACCTTGTTTTTTCCCCGACCTTGTGAAGACTCCCTCCGCATTTTTCAAATTATGGTTGAGTACCAAGCCCTATGGCTTGTCCGAGAACTCGCTAAAACCATGCAAATTGTCAATGAGATATCTATAAGTTCTACTAGTCCGGTTGGTTGCCCATCTCTTAATTATGCATCACCTTGTAGGAAAACTGAATAACTTTATTTACACATGGTAGAGTTTAGGGGAAGCAAAATGAAAAACAAAAGCCGATTCTTCTATATCGGAATAATATAAGATAAGGCAGCGGAAGTGGGGTTGGAATCTTTCTTTTTAAAATAGAGGAGTAGTGGCGTTGAAGCCTCATTTTTATCTGGAATCTTGCTGGCAAGTGGCACGTTCCTTTTAAGCTTTCTTGGTTGAGTCTCCTACGCTGCCTAATATTCTTTACTTGCCTAGGTAGCCACCAAACTCGAATTTGCACACTATACCATATCACATGGAAAGATGATATATACGTTGGAATTTTAACACAAATGAGACCGTCGCAGCTAGGCATCTGGGTCTATCATGACAACAAGATGGGACTGCCGTTCTGCCAAGAACCCAAAGATGCCTTCTTTTATAACTTTGGAGGATGTGGTGGCCAAGCCGACAAGTATTAGGAGAATTTAATTACAGATAAATGTACTGGTAATAAATAAATAAATACATAAATAAAACGCTCAGTAGATGTTTTAGTCTTTAATTCAGATTTCACAGTACAAATAATCACACCTACATTAAAATCTACTCCCCCTGTTCCAAATTACATAGTTTTTGCTATATATGCACTTTGATATATATATATATATATATATATATATATATATATATATATATATATATATATATGTGTGTGTGTGTGTGTGTTATGTGTCTACATACTTATTAAAAAAACGAAAATGACTTATAATTTGGAACAAAAGGAGTAGAAAAAGCAACAAGAAGAGAGTAGACATGCCCCCTCTGTTATAGAATATAAAATGTTTTTTTGTCTCAAGTGAGAAACTTATTTAACTTTGACCAAGTTTACATATTCTATAACGTCATATCAAACATCAAAATCCGCCATGAAACATATCTTGACAATTAATGCATTTATTTGGTATTTTAGTATGGTCAAAGTTAGATACATTTGACTTAGGACAAAACTAAGACCTCTCTGACATTTTGAAACATTGGAAGTATTTAGATAAAGGGTGTGCATATATACTTGTTGTCCTTGTAACACCCCAAAAAATGCTTCTTTTGAAATAGAGATAAATTGAGGTAATTATGAATTTTTGTGCTCATGAAAACATAGGCAAATAATATTTTTTTGAAATTAAAATTTACCATAGGGTGTAGAAACATGACTGAGCATTCATGCCTTTGCATTTGCTTTATTGAGTTGAGTGGTTTTCACCAAAATCCAAAATGTGTTAAACTACTTTTGAAAATGGTTTTGAAATAGCTTTGAAATAAAACAAAAGAACAAAAAAAAGAAAAGAAAAGGAAAACTCTCCCTCTCCCTCTCTTTAGGCTTGTTGACCTCCCTTCCCCGTAGGCCGGCCCAACCCCACGATCCAGCCAGAACAGCCGTGGGCGCCCTTTCCCCCCTCTCCCCTCTGTTTCAAGCAGGCCCAGGTGGGCTTGGCCCTGTGTCTCTCCCCTCTCTTCTGCAAGGCCCGCGCGCCTCTTTCTCTCCTAGGCCGGCCTAATACGGACGCGCCCGCTCCCCTCTCTCGCCTCTGTCGTTGGCCGCTCGGTCCCGCACCATGTCCTGACCACTGGGCCCGCTCCATCAGCCATACACCCCGCCTTCCATCTTCAACCTCCAGCGCCTTCCATATTTGGAAGCCAGCGCCTTCCTTTCTTGGATGAGCTTGATCCGAGCTTGGATCTTCACCTTCCATCGATGCCACCATCTCTGGGCTATAAAAGTTGAGTGCACGTACCCTGCCGCCCTCGCCAAGCCACCCCCAAGCCGCCGTCTCGTGCCAAGCCGCCACACCGAAGCTCAAAAACCCTAATGCGCCACCACCGGGTTGATCTCCTTTGTCGCAGCTCCGTCGCCGCCTTGAATTGTTTGCCGAGCCTCGGACGATGGTAAGAAACACGCAGGTACCACGTGTTCTTCCCTCCCTTTCTGTTGCATGTGCTAGCTCGCCGGCAAACCCAAGCCACTCGATCAAGCCCCACGATGCCTCTGTTCACTCACCGCCGTCACCAATACCCCCATCGAGTTCGTGAGCTACATATCTTCATCCCCGTACCCGTCCCGTGCCTCCTCGTGGCTCGAAGCGCCGTCGACAAAGGCACGAGCGAGCATCCGGCCACGTCGCTCCCGTGTAGTGTGCCGCCCCGGTGACCCTCATCTCCCCCATCTGTTCTGCGCCGTCCGTTTCTAGATCGGTGGCTCAAATCCAAAGTTGACCAGGTCAATACCGGTCAACAACGCCACTTTTTCTTAAGAGCCCCTCTATTTTTCTGAAATCAACCCGTAGTTTGCATCTGTTCAAAAGTATTTGAAAAAAGTCCCTTTTCTTTTGTTTTCACACCTATTCTTTTCCAAAATAAACCCGCCGTCCCCGTCTAGATTGAAAATCCTGATTTCTATTTATTTTAATTCAAAAACAAAATCCAGTTATTTACAATACTGCCAATAATATTGTTTTAAGCATAGTTTCTCTGTTTTAGCTCCGTTTTGACCTGTTCAAGTTGTGTTATATTCATAATGACGTAATCTACGTGTTAGTAGCAACATTTACCATGTCACTAGCTTTGGAATTTTATGGTTTAAATCCTAATTTGAATAATGATTATGCAACTGGACAGACAGTGGTCAGCATGGCCTGATCCATGATGAAGGCCAAAGGGATGCCGGCAAAGTTCTGGGGAGAGGCGGTGACCACGGCGGTGTTCATCCTCAACTGCGCTCCAACCAAGGCCCGAACGGGCAAGACGCCGTTCGAAGCTTGGTATGGGAGCAAGCCGAATGTGTCATTCCTCCGGACATTCGGTTGCCTCGGCCACGGCAGGAAGACGAAGCTGAACCTCACCAAGCTGGAGGACAGGAGCACACCCATGGTGTTCCTAGGCTACGCAGAGGGTACCAAGGCGTACCGGCTCTATGACCCACGCGGAGACAAGGTGACTGTCTCGTGCGACGTTGTGTTCAACGAGGAGGCGGCTTGGGACTGGAACAGTCCAAGCACGGGGGAAGCAGGAGGCTTCCCCAACACCTTCGTCATCGAGCACTTGGTCATCCACGGCGGTGGAGACGCTGCGGAACAGGTGCCACGCACTCCGGGGGAGCGCCGAGCACTCCGATGGTAGAGTCGAGCACTTCTAGGGCAGTGCCGAGCACTTCAGGAGGGATGCCGAGCACTCTGGGAGGAGTGTCGAGCACTTTTGGAGGGATGCCGAGCACGCCAGGAGTGGAGCCAGGAGGTTCTACAGTGGTGGCGACCACTTCAGGATGGGTGCCGAGCACTCCCATGGCGGAGCCAAGACGTCTTACTGTGGTCCCAACCACTCCAAGACTGAGGCTAGGCACTCCTACAGTGTGGCCGAACACTGCAGGAGTTATGATGAGCAGTCCAGAAGCAGTGCCGAGCACTTCGGGTGCTATGCAGGGCACTCCGGCGGAAGAAGGAACTCCATCACCCCCGATCGAGTTCGCCTCACCTCCAAGTGACATCACTGAGTTTGTGGACGCCTACCACGAAGGTGAGGAGTTGAGGTTCCGCAGGCTGGACGACATCGTCGGCGACATAGGTCCCTCAAGTCTGGCGGGTAGGCTGCTCAACGACATAGAGCTGCTACTCGTCAGTGCAGAGGAACCACCCACGTTCGCGCTAGCCGAGCACGATGGAAACTGGCGACGGGCGATGCTGGAGGAGATGAATGCGATCGAGGAAAACGAGACTTGGCAGCTCGTCGATCCACCTCCAGGATGCCATCCGATCAGCCTGAAGTGGGTGTACAAAGTCAAAAGGGACGAGCTCAGCGCCATCGTCAAGCACAAGGCGCGCCTCGTCGCCCGAGGCTTTGTCCAGCGCGAGGGCATCGACTTCGAGGAGGTCTTTGCGCCAGTAGCGCGCATGGAGTCGATCCGTTTGCTACTTGCTTTGGCGGCAGCAAAGGACTAGCGCGTCCATCACTTGGACGTTAAATCGGCCTTCCTCAACGGCGAGCTGGCGAAAACGGTCTTCGTCAGGCAACTTCCAGGGTTCGCTGTCAAGGGAGAGGAGCACAGGGTGCTCCGACTGTGCAAAGCGCTCTACAGGCTGCGGCAAGCCCCTCGAGCATGGAACGTCAAGCTTGACACCACGCTGGGCGAGCTTGGGTTCCAGAGGTGCGCAACCGAGCACGTGCTCTACACGCAACCGAGCATGCCGCTCTACACGTGGTCGGCGTGTATGTGGATGACTTAATCGTCACCGGTGCACGCACAGAGGATATCAACAGCTTCAAGTGAGGGATGGCAGCTCGTTTCCGAATGAGCGATCTCGGCACTCTCTCCTACTACCTCAACATCAAAGTGAGACAGGGGAAGGAGGAACTCACGCTCGGGCAAAGCGCGTATGCCTCCAAGCTGTTGGAGAGGAGCAGCATGGTAGAGTGCAAGCCATGCGTGACTCTGATGGAGGAGCGGCTGAAGCTAATGAAGGACAGCACTGTGGCGAAAGTGGATGCAACACTCTACCGGAGCATCGTCGGCGGTCTGCGCTATCTAGTCCACACGAGGCCGGACATTGCATTCGTCGTGGGCTACGTCAGTCGCTTCATGGAGGATCCCAGAGAGGATCACTGGGCTGCGGTGAAACGGCTGCTACGCTACGTCAAGGGAACAGTGAATCATGGAATCATCTTCCCGAAGACCGGGGGAAGTAGGCTGCGGCTCACGGCGTTCAGCGATGCAGACATGGCGGGGGACATCGATGGACGACAGAGCACCTCTGGCATACTCGTCTTCCTCGGGTCAGCCCCAATTTCATGGCTGTCGCTGAAACAGAAGGTGGTAGCGCTATCTACGTGCGAGGCAGAGTACGTAGCGGCATCCACAGCGGCGTGCCAAGTTGTGTGGCTACGCCGGCTGCTGGGCGAGCTAACCGGCGTGGAAGCTCACCCACCAGCACTGATGGTGGACAACCAACCTGCCATCGCCCTCGCGAAGAATCCGGTTCTGCACGACCGGAGTAAACACATCGACGTGAAGTTCCACTTCCTCAGGGACTGTGTTGATGGAGGGCAGATCGTCATCGAGTTTGTCGAAACTGGTCGGCAACTCGCGGACGTCCTCACCAAGCCGCTCGGACGACTTCGACTCACGGAGCTGAAGGAAATGATCGGCATGGAAGGGGTGCAAGGGTTAGCAGTAGGATTAGGAGAAGATTGTTAGCTAATCTACTGTCACCTTGTGTGAACACAGCAGAGGAAGGCGGCGCCGACTTTTGCCTCCTGCTGTGATACTGTAGCCGCTGCAGGTGCAGGCGCCGCACGGCTCACCTGCAGCACTGTAGGCACATGCAGTGGCTGGCGCAGAGTCAGCCCTGTATGCTAATCTAGTTACTGTTACAGTATGTGCGCTGTATTTTAGTTAGATAGATAGAGTTGTATAAATAGGGCACCAAGGCAACTCAGTAAAGAGAGCTCAGATTTGCCATCACACAAACAGGGCCTCGGCCAACGTTGTTGTCTTGTATTGTGCGTGCTTGCTCTGTTCTCCCTTCTTCTTCTAGCTCGATCCGTAGTGTGTGGGTACGGACAAAACCGGTACGGTGGTCTGGGGACTAGTGGTCTGTAGACTAGTGGTCTGAAAGGCCAGGGGTCTGACTAGTTCACTGTCGTCAGACGGTGATCCCGTAGGTCAACAGTGACCACAGGTAGAGAACAATCTCCAGCATCTCCTTGAGGACGATGATGCCGATCATGAGGCGGGTGATGAACACACCGTGCGTGATCCTGTTCCGGTCGGCTGGATCCATCCTCTCCGGTATGTACCGGGCAGGATAGGCGATGTACCCCGTCGCCGTGGCCAGGAACAGCGACAGCAGCAGGCTCCGCAGCGGCACCAGGAGCCCGCCGCCAGCTAACACGGTGGCATGCTTGCTGTAGAACAGGTCCTGGAGGAATGACAGCTCTGCCCCAGTGATGCGGAAAGCCCTCTCGCGGTCCTTGAGGACGTAGTCGAAGACGAGCCGCCTCATCTTCTCCTTGCCCGCCGGCCGGTCCATCTCGTGCATCGGGAGATCGTAGAACCGACGGCGCAGCAGCTTGTACAGCGCGAACGACAGGCACAAGTCCCTGCGATGGCCTGCTGCTTCTCCCGCTCCCAGCAACCCGCTGTCGTTGTCGCCCTTCCATATCGTCTCTACGGTGACGATCTGCTCCTTGTGGACTCCATCTGGATACAGTTGAATCTTGTAGCTGCTGCTGCTCTCACTTTTTACTTGCTGTCTCCTTTTCCTGAAACACGAAGATAGTGTTCTTTTAACTTCCCGCTTGCTGCCCTCTTGGACTTCCTTGAGCACGCGGTGCTCGCCATACACCAGGTACTTGTACCCGCTCATGGAGGATTCCTTCTTCTGCTGAGGGAGAGTGTCCTCGTAGCTCATATAGTCGCTCACCAGCCTCATGCTCTCTTGGTTATTCGTCTCACCTTTACCGGAGCTGACGAAGAGCACGACGATGCGAACTGCATTCAGGGACCAGATCGTCCAGAGGGGGATCCTGAGGAGGTAGAAGGTCTGCACCCGGAGGAGATTGGCTGACCAGAAGGAGGACATGAGGTCCAACAATGGGACCTGCTTCGACCTGGTGTAGGGGCGCCCGGTCTTGACGCTGTACTGCAGGGTCACCAGCAGCACCGCCCACACCTGGAAGTAGTCGTTCACCTTCCTCGCGCCCGACAGCTGCATCAGCCCCATGGTGTAGATCACCATGTTTTGGTTCAGTATCTCCAGGGTGAGGACAACGAACGTCCTCCGCGGATTCCCGAACCATGGCCCCTCGAAGTCGATGAGGAACCTCACCACCACCAGCAACGTCGTCAGCAGCACCCACAGCTCCACACTGGCAATATGAGTAACATTGTCCAGCTTAAAGAGCTTCTCCAAGCTGAGAAGGATTGCTCCGGCAACCCCCGAGGGCCTCGCCATCTTCTTCTCCTCTCTCCCTCTCTACTTTTCCAATGGATGCCCTTAGTGTGAGGAACAGAGGAGTTCATCTCATGCTTTCTAGCTAGTTTGGACAGCTTTATTTGACCACCACCGGGTATAGTTGAAGGCCAAATAAATTATTCAAACTCGATGAATCAAGGGCCGATCGAGACACTCTCTCACCTTCAATTTGGACTTATGAGAGAGAGAGAAAGAGAGAGAGCGAGACATATTAACCAACTCTAATAACTTATGTACTAGTTGCATCTAGCCATCTACTCGTCTTCATCGACATTGTTTTGTTGATCTGAAGACCTACAACTAATTATCAATAATGAACTATAATAACTTACTTTCTCCGTCCCATACAAGATGTTATAGCATTTGAATCTTGTCCTAGAAAGATTGACGCTATAGCCTGCGAATCCCATCTAATCCCTCCACTCGATGCACACAGTGCATGGACAGTGACTGTTCCAATTAAAAATTCCTTATATAGAACAGGTCATTGATGATGTTGCCTATGAAAACCTCATCACCCAAGGTCACTTCCAATTTGTTTACCATTTCTTTGGAGCAATCACCGATGCGACACTGCAGCTCTCCCAAACCGAACTCTACCCAACCGAACCGTGTTACTTCAGTTCATAGTGCTGGAGCTGCTCTAAAAGCACATGGATTGGAAATTCAGAATCGTTTTTTACAAGACCGGTAAACCGGCTAGTTCCATTTGAGCTGGAATTAATGTTTTTCTATTTATTGCACTGCTACCCCACTATCTATTCTATTCAGTATAACACGATACATCTCTGGATACCACCATCGACCTAAGTGCATATGATTATAAAAAATAAAGACCCAAGAAGACGACCTCGACCTCATATGAATGGATCTTACTTATATATCATCATGGCATGGGTAGTTGGGTACCCAATAACCGTAGAGATCTGTCCTTCCGGGCATTGTTTAATAGTCTCTCAACTACAAGGAGAGGTTGGTTTGGAACTGGCAATAGCAATCACAATCACAATCACAAATTGTCTAGTACACAGCTCCCCGGTTCCTGACATCGCCTGTCAGCAGCTACTGCGCCCAAGACCCAGGTACAAACTGCTTGTTTCATTCATTTCATAGTAATAATACACGTTAAGTTGTTGACAGTTAACTCTGCATTGCATAATTTGCAAACTTCAGTCATTTCCTCAAGAATAAGAGATAGAATCCTCAACTTCTAACAAGCGTGAAAGGGTGTGTATTGTTTCTCATCATATGGAGGAACAGGGAATAAGCTTAACTGAAATGATGCATATATCATATATGCCTTTGAGTCTTTCTCATAACCAAGCTAGAAGCTACAACTAGCATGACTGGTTTTCTGTTTATTTTGAAATAATCTGGCAACAATATAAAATGAAACCAGCATATAGATCCAGCATGCTTGCCTCCAATTTTGTTTCATGGTTCAGTGTTTATTATACTGCTAGTTCAGGTACGGTGGGGAGGGTTAATAAGCACCGGGCCGCTTTCGAGTATTGTTCCAACTGTGGTTATCATCTCAGTTCATTCAGTTCTGCTGTGACGATTGTTTTCCTCGGAAAGAAAAGCTACGGTGTTGCTTTTATAGTTAATTTGTTTGCAAAACGGCCTTGACCATGCAGGCATCCCTGAGCAAGGATGGTGAGCCTGCATGATATCCGCGAGCATGTGGCATCCCTGTTCATCATGCTGAACAAGAAGACAGTCATCTTGTTCCGCATCGAGTTCCTGGTGGTTCTCGTCACACTGGTGTTCTTTGCCATGTTCCTCATGGACTTCTACCGCCGCATCATCCACAACTCGTTCATGAGGGCTGTGTTCAGCGTCTTCGACGCTGTCTCCGACTCCATCGTCGTGTACCTCCTGGGGGCCATGCAGACGGCGCCTTTCAAGAACCAGCTGTTCCCGGTCTGGGCACTTGTGCTCGTCAACTTCCGCTACAGCGCAGACTACATCTCGGGCTACGGTGTCCCCGACCGCCGCGGGCGAAGGTTCACCGAATGGAGGAACGTGTTCAAGCTCCTGGGATCCGCGTTCCTGAATTGGACGCGCGGGTCCAGCTTCTGGGGTCCGCTGTGGCTGGTCTGGGAACTGCAGATAGTGAGGAGCGGCTACAGATTTCTTTCCCATACACTGGCGTCCCGCGCCGTCTGGCATGGCGGGAGCTCGGAGCTTGTTGCAGAGCACATGCGTGCCATGCATGAGCGTGGTGACCAAGTGAGCAGCAGCAGCCGAGGAGAATTATTCAACCCAGTGACGATGGAAGGCTACAGGTACTTGGTGTACGGAGAAACAAAGCAGAAGAAAGGAGTATTCAGACTGAAGAAGCCTCAGTATGCATTGTCTACCGACCAGGATCAGCAGGATGCTACCAAGAAGAATAAGAAGACGTCTCCGCCGCCATTGATCACGCTGGACACGATCAGCAGGTGCAGGGTAATAAGGTCGTTGTGAAGAAGGACCTCCCTCTGGCCTTCGCCTTGTCCAGGCTGCTGCGGTGCAGGTTCGAGGATGTCAAACTGCAACGGTGTATATTTGACACAAACCGGGATCTGGTGAAGAGCATCATTGCTGGGAAGGTGGGTGCCAGCGATGCCCTCAGGATCATGGAGCTGCAGCTCGCCTTCGTCCATGACTACTTCAACACCCGCTACCCCATGATCTTCTGGTGTGGCCTCCCATCCCTCTTCATCAGCCTGGTTCTGTCCGTTCTGACCATGGGTGCTGTCGTCTGGCTTGCTGTGGACATCCGTAAGTGTTAGAATATACATGTATATGTGCTGTGCGTGTATGGGCCTGTGCCTGGTATAGCCGGCCAGCCCTATATTTGGTTAGAGAGATATGAGGAGATCTCTGTTGGTTCTGTTTCTATAAGCCACAAGATCTCCTCTTCCCTATATATATGTACATAGGACTCTCCAATCAATCTAATCCAATATTCCACGCAATCTCTATTGCTTTCATGGTATCACGAGTCTAGGGTTCCCTTCCGCTCCTGCTCGCCGCCGCAAATTCGCGTGCGCATCCTCTGCAGCACCAATCATGCCCGGCGATCCTCCACCCCCTGCTCCCCAGCCGCACGCTCCGCAGCCCTCGAGCGCAGCCTCCGGCATCGTCACCGACGCCTCTGGTGCTGCAGCCATCGCTGCCCAGGAGAAGCGCGCCCATGCCGACGCTGCTCGCCTCCGCGAGCGCGCGGCCCAGGCTCGCCACGCCGCTGCCCTCGCCCGCGTGGCTGAGGCTGACCGCGTGGCTGCTGCAGCGCAGGCTGAGCGCGACGCCGCCGAAACTCGCCTCCGCGCTGCCCTGGCTCGCGCCGCCCTCGAGCGTGCTGCGACCCAACCCCTCCCTGGAAGTGCCGACGGTTCCGGCGGCGAAGACTCCGACGCCGGCGACGATCCCCTCCAGGATGCTCTCTTCCAGCACGAGGCCGCAGCCTTGATCAATCTGCATGCCCAAGCCGTGGCTGTGCAGAACATCCGTCTCCTCGTGCCGCTCGTCCTCGACGTCTCTTCGACGTTCTACGGCCGCTGGCGCGAGTCCTTCCTCCACGTCGTCGGCCGCTACTCTCTGGAGAGTCACGTTCTCTCCGACGCGTCCACTCTCACCTCGCCGGATTGGGTGCGCATGGACTACGTCGTTCGGACTTGGCTCGGCGGCACCATCACCGACGCCCTCGCCGAGACCGCCATCGAACCGGGCAACACTGCCCGTGTCTCATGGCTCGCCATCGAGTCCCAGTTCCGTGGGAATCGCGAAACCCGTGCACTCCACCTCGACGCGGAATTCCGCAACTTCAAGCAAGGCGATCAAGACATCACCACCTATTGCAGGAAGCTCAAGGGCATGGCTGATGCTCTCCGCGACCTTGGCGAGCCCGTTCTAGACCGCACGCTTGTGCTAAACCTCATCCGCGGTCTCAATGGCCGCTTTGAAGCCATTGGGCTCCACCTTCGTCGCGGGCATCCCTTCCCTTCCTTTTTGCAGGCCCGCAATGATCTTCTCCTTGAAGAGCTCACCATGGAGGCGACTGCGCCGGCTACTGCTCTTCATGTCGGGGCTGCCACCCCCTCCAGCGGCTCGCGGCCGCCGTCTGCTCCTCAAGCACCTCCAGCCGCGCCTCCACAGCAGCGGCCGCCGGGTCAACAACAGCCCTCCAACGGTGGGGGGGGCAAGCGCGCCCGGCGCGGCAAGCGCGGTGGTGGCGGCCGTGGCCAAATGCCCAACAGTGGGCAGCAATCAGCGTCTTGGCCTAATCTTCATCAACCATGGACCGGATCCATCAACATGTGGCCTGGACCCCGGCCATCGACGCTCCCGCACCCTCATGCTCTCCTCGGCGGCGTGCAGCAGCCTCTAGGCGGACAGCAGATGCCTCATGCACTGCTGGCCGGCGCACAGCAGGGCTGGGGTGTCCACCCAGGCGTGCAGCAGTGGGCGCTGCCCCCAGCGGGCCTCTACAGCCCGGCTGTTGGCGCCCCAGGCTGGGATGCGGCAAGCTTGGCTGCCAACTTCCAAACGATGTCGCTGCAGCAGCCCCCATCCAGCAACTGGTACTTCGACTCCGGCGCCTCCAACCATATGACTTCTGATGCTGGTACAGTCACTGCTCCCTTCACTCCACTTTCATCATCACCATCCCATATTGTTGTCGGTAATGGGCACCTTCTTCCCATTACTTCCACTGGCGTTACCAATTTTCCTCATAACCTTCATCTTAATAATGTCCTTGTTTCTCCTGGCCTTATTAAGAATCTTATTTCGGTACATCAGTTTACTTCCGATAACAATTGTTCTGTGGAGTTTGACCCTCTTGGTTGTTCTGTTAAGGATCTACATTCTCGGAGAGAGATCGTCAGGTGTGACAGCTCTGGTCCCCTTTACCCACTACAGTTCCAGGAGCCTGCCTCTACTCTGATCGCCACTTCCAGTCCTTCGCTTTGGCACCAGCGTCTTGGTCATCCCGGTCATGAAGTCTTGTCTAGGCTAGCCCAATCGTCTGCTATTCCATGTAATAATAGTGCCAGTCAAACATTATGTCATGCTTGTCAGTTGGGGCGTCATACTCGTTTGCCATTTCATGCGTCCAATTCCAGAACCACTCATATTTTCCAATTAATACATTGTGATTTGTGGACCTCGCCTATTCCAAGTGTTGCTGGATGCAAGTATTATCTTGTCGTTCTTGATGACTTTTCGCACTACCTCTGGACTTTTCCACTTCGGTTAAAGTCAGACACCTTTTCGACCCTGTCTAACTTCTTTGCATATGTTGCTACACAGTTCGGTGTCTCTATTCAGGGTATTCAGTGCGACAATGGACGCGAGTTCGACAATCATGCTTCCCGTGCCTTCTTCCTCTCTCACGGCGTGCAGCTACGCATGTCTTGTCCTTACACCTCCTCCCAAAACGGTAAAGCCGAACGCATTATTCGTACCATCAATAATGTTGTTCGCTCCCTCCTGTTCCAGGCTAGTGTCCCTCCAGCCTATTGGGTTGAGGCCCTCTCCACCGCCACACTGCTCCTTAACATTCTCCCTACCAAGACACTCAATTTCTCCACCCCTCATATGGTCCTATATGGGTCTCCACCCTCTTATGAGCATCTTCGTGTTTTTGGGTGCCGTTGCTATCCCAACCTTTCAGCCACCGCTCCCCACAAACTCGCCCCCCGTTCCTCCTTGTGTGTTTTTCTTGGCTATTCCCCTCATCACAAAGGATACTGCTGTCTTGACAGGTCCTCCAACCGGATCATCATATCCCGGCATGTCGTCTTTGATGAGACATCCTATCCCTTCTCCGAGGATTCCGCTCGTCCTACTCCCCAGGACTTCGAGTTCTTGGACTCTACTGACCCTGTGATGGCTCCACCAGTGTCGTCATTTTTTATGCCTGCAGGTTCTCCCAGTGTCAGCCACTTGTTGCCCACGCGCGTCTTGTTGTGTGTTCGAGGCGGCGCCCATGGCTTGTCTGCTGCTCCCCGGCCTGGCGATCATCTAAAGCAGGTCCCGGCCGCAACAACCGGTCATGCACCACCAGCACTGGCTCCTCCATCACCCACCCGGTGGTCTGGGCAATCAGCACACGCACCACCAGCCGGTGGCCCCTCCAAGAGCCCACCCGGCTGGTCTGGCGATCGCCTGTTGGTCCTCCACCCGGCTTCAAATACTGGGATGGGCAGGCTGCTACTGGCGCCGGTCCCACCAGTTCCGGTGACGACTGATCGCCGTCGCCACGGCCTCCATCTCCACCTGCTCCACCTGCTCCACCACCACCGGCTGCTACTGCTGTTCGCCTTCCACCTGGGGCGGTTCCCATCGTCCCTGTGGTCAATCAGCATGCCATGAGGACGCGTGGGAAAGCCGGTTTCCGACAGCCGGCGGCATTTCAGACGACCTCCCTGTCGCCGATCCCGCGGACGTATGGCGTCGCTTTTGCTAACCCCCATTGGCGTGCAGCTATGCAGGAGGAGTTCTCAGCTCTACTTGTCAACCACACTTGGGATCTAGTTCCGCGACCACCGCGCTCTAATGTGGTGACTGGCAAGTGGGTCTTCAAACACAAGTTCAGGGCAGACGGTTCTCTCGAGCGCTACAAGGCGCGCTGGGTTCTTCGTGGATTCACCCAGCGCCCAGGCATTGACTATGATGAGACTTTCAGCCCGTTGCTAGAAGCCCGCCATATTCGCCTGACAGCTTCTCGTTAGCTGTCTCACTAGATTGGCCGATTCATCAGCTTGATGTGAAGAATGCATTCCTCCATGGGACCCTCTCCGAGACAGTCTACTGCGCCCAGCCAGCAGGATTTGAGGACAATTCTCGCCCGGATTTTGTCTGCCGCTTAAACAGGTCCTTATACGGCCTGAAACAGGCGCCCCGTGCTTGGTATAGCAGGTTCGCCACGTTCCTTCTCCAGTTGGGCTTTGTTGAGACCAAGTCGGACACATCCTTATTTGTTTATCGTCGGGGTTCTGAGACTGCATATCTCCTGCTCTATGTTGATGATATTGTGCTGACTGCTTCCTCAGCGGATCTACGCCAGCGTATTATTGCAGCGCTTCAGCGGGAATTTTCTATGAAGGATTTGGGAGAACTCCATCATTTTCTGGGCATGCAGGTTCAGCGCACCAGCTGTGGTCTTTTCTTATCTCAACATCAGTATATGCTGGACATCTTAGATCGTGCTGGTATGGCAGATTGCAAGCCCTGCTCTACTCCGGTTGATATCAACCCGAAGCTCTCAGCTGATGGCAACCCCATTGCAGATCCTACGGATTTTCGCAGCCTAGCAGGAGCTCTGCAGTATCTCACTTTCACACGGCCGGACATTGCTTATGCCGTGCAGCAAGTGTGTCTTCATATGCATGATCCGCGAGAGCCTCACCTTGCAGCTTTGAAGCGCATATTGCGCTATGTTCGTGGCACTTTAGAGTTGGGGTTACATATTCGAGCCTCCAGTCAGCTTGATCTTGTTGTCTACTCCGATGCCGACTGGGCCGGCTGTCCTGACACTCGTAAGTCCACCTCGGGCTACGCGGTGTTCCTCGGTGACACTTTGATTTCCTGGTCCTCCAAGCGCCAGAACACGGTCTCTCGCTCCAGTGCTGAAGCTGAGTATCGTGCGGTCGCCAATGCCGTCGCCGAAGCTTCTTGGTTGCGCCAGTTGTTGTCTGAGCTGCATACACCCCTGCGCCATGCCACATTGGTCTACTGCGACAATATCAGCACCGTGTACATGTCTTCCAACCCTGTTCAGCATCAGCGTACCAAGCACATTGAGATTGATCTTCACTTCGTCCGAGAACGAGTGGCTCTTGGTGCTGTCCGCGTCAACCTGGTGAAGGGTTTCAATGTTGACACGATCATCACATGGTTATTCATTGGCTTGATGATTGTCAAGGAGATATGGGAGATGCACACCTACTTACGTTCAGACTGGACAAGCTTAATCAAGGCGTGCGAGCATGTGCAGCGCAAGTCCAAGACCGAGAGGACCAAACAATCAAGAGACGATACATGGATGTACTGCATTCTGCTATATATTTCCAGATCTAAATTCTAATAAGGTCACTGATAGGAGGTGGCATGGACTCATTGACCAGTATGTCTTCGTGGAGTCCTATGATGACCGGCCAAGGTTTTGGAACCTCATCCACAACCTGACCACGGGCATTGTTCCAAAGAAGGAGGATGGCGCAAAGCTCGGCAGCGCCGTCCAAGTCCCGGACTGTGTCAGGCAGAAAGTCCTGGAGAAGCTCAGCGAGCTGACCGAGGATAATGGAGATGGACGGGCAGGTCGTCGTGGCCAGCTGCTGCCCGGGTTCATCAAGACGTTGTCCGACACCAGCGTTAGCATGGAGTTGCAGAGGTACCAGGCGTACACTGCACGACCGAGCAGTGCAACCACTGGCGGCGGTGGCGGCGTCGTTCTGCCGACAGCCTCCCATATCATTCTTGTGTGGCACATCGCGACCAGCCTCTGCGAGATGGAGCTGGCAACGACGCACGGCGTCGACCTGGGCAGCCCTGGGTTCCCGTGCTCCCTCCTGTCTTGGCTCTCTTCTCTCTGCTCGTCCAAACCGTATCTTATGGACGTGTATGATAAGAAAGGCTGCTGCAGCAGCAGCAGCTTGTCATGGTTCACGATCTCAAATTGTTGCTGCTCATCGTCCAAATCAAGTGATGGCAAGACGGAGGAGAAGAAGCAGCAAGTGAATGGGAAGTTGCCTGCAGGCAACCTCCGGAGAGCATACATCATTGCCAATAGCTTGTCGCGGTACTGCACGTACCTGCTAGTATCAAAGCCGGACCTGATCCCTGATAGCTTCCTTGTCCCCAAGATAGTCTTCCAGAAAGCCGTGAGGAGTGCTCGTGATGGCATTTTCAAAGGCACTGGTTCATTACAGGAAAGGCACAAGGCACTCAAGGCACTCATGGACGAAGCAGGTAAGGCACAAGGCACTCAAGCACTCAAGGACGATGGCGCAGAAAGAGATGAGGAGGATGTGCTGAAACAAGGAATCGCGCTGGGCAAGGAGCTTTCGCGGACGTGTGGACAGAGCTGCTCATACACACTGCGCCCACGAAGAATGCACTGGCACACAGGAAGTGTCTTTCTGCAGGGGAGTTCATAAACCACGTCTGGGCATTGCTCTGGCACTGTGGCATCCAAGAGAGCAGCTTGTGGCCAAAGGATACTAGCCCTGAAAACAATGAGCCACAGCCACAGGTGGGGAACGGTGGCGGTGATGGGGCTGCTGCTGGGATGATCGAGAAAAGGCGAACTGGAGGAGATGCTATGAGGGAGAGAGACCACATTGGGATCACCATTGATGAAGCACATGACAACAAGGACAAGGGGAAGGGAGCCAAAGATCTTGAGGCAGGCGACTCAAGTACTACAAGTACAGGACTACTGAAAATGGAGGGAACTGAAAGCTCGGAAATTGAGGAGGTCTATGGGGATGCGACCACAAATGTTCAGAGAGGCATGGCTAGGCAAACCCAAAACTAGCGGCAGTGAATTGAACAAGGTGGAAGAAATTGTTCCAGAGATGATATAAGCAGCGCAAAGTGACCTCAAGCACATGTATGCGACCATATAAGTTCCGCAACACAACTTGGACGTGTGCTGAGGATATGTGTTGATCTTCAATCCAGGGACATGATTGGTTATTCTGATGGTGGGAGATTAGTCTGTTCTGCATTTTTCTACCTTTGTGTACTTGCACTGTACTGTTCAGTAAATGAGGTTGTATCATTGTTGTGGTCATCAGTTTATAATTGGTAACTTGATTCCTTGGTGGCAAATAATGTTGTCGATGCTGCCGGCGCCCCTCGCCGGTGACAGAGCCGATCACCCTAATTGAACACCGCGAACTCACAAACGCACACGATGACAAGTGGATTTGGTGCCGCGAACTCACCCTAATTGAACGACGCTGCACTCACCATGACCTCCGACTGGACTGCGCCATCCCACGGTGGAGGAACATGCCGAGTACCTCCACTACTCATGAACAAAGCGAAAGACACGGACCACCACCGCATGAACGCAGCATGTGTCTGGCTAAAAGAAAAACTAGACGAGCCCCACTTGGCTAGAGTCAGGCACACCTTATTCTAAATATAGCCAAGAGAAAATGAGCTGAGCCAAGCTAGATTACCAACAAATAAGAATCGAATTTGTAACCTGGTTCATGCGTGGGTCCATCATTAATACGAGTAATAACTAGTCTGGCATCCAATCAACCAAATGTAATTGGTCGCTAGGAAAAGGACCCCTGGGCTTGAACCCCAAGGCGACTGCGCGCCCTGGCAGGTACCTCCACCGCGTCGACGGTGGCGCCGGCTGCTGCTCCGACAGCGGCGCCCGCCTCCCCCCCCCTTCCTCCTTCCACTCCACGCACCGCTCCTCCCCAACTGGTGACTCAACGCTCGGCAGCGCCCACGACAACCCTTTGCGCCACCACCGCCGGCGGCTGCTGCCCTGGCTCTAGCGGCTGCCTCCCCGCATGCCCCACTTGCTCAGCCATGCATGACCGCCGGTGGCAGCGAAGGTGGCAGGGTTGCCGCCCGGCCGCAACCATGGCACGCTGTCATCTCATTGTCGGGCGTGACGGCCCCGGCGGTTGTTGGTTTGTAGGCCTCCTTATCCTTCACATCCGCCTCTGCTACCTACAACGCCGAGGAAGCCCAGCGGGCCTAGATCTAGGGCCACGCGGCCCGCCACCAGGACGGCGCTCCTTGATGCGCCACGGCTGTAGGCCCCGTCTCCTCTGGTCGCTCCTTCAGCTCTGACCCCTCCAACATCTTCCTCATCCGCACCGGCTCCGACTTGTTCATATCCAGCCCCTCCACCACCGAAGCTTTGGCTGTCGGGGCTCGTTTCGTCACTTGATCGCCTGGTGTCGGGTATCAGTATTAGGGATACCCGAAGAAGGGATCTGAGGACCGCAGACAACAAACTCGCCTAGATAATCGAGGACGTATTTCAGTCTCGACCGACCCCGAAGGGACGGTTTCCGCCTCGCCAGACCCCTCGGGCATGGGCCCCGTGTCGCCCGACCCCGAGGGTACGGGAGTCATCTCGCCCGACCCTGAGGGCACGAGCTCCATCTCGCCCGACCCTGAGGGTACGGGCCCCGTGTCGCTCGACCCTGAGGGTACGGGAGCCGTCCTGCCCGACCCTGAGGGCACGGGCTCTGTCCCGCCCGACCCCGAGGGCGCGTGCTCCGTCTCGCCCAACGGGGATCCATACCGCCTTTAACCACTACGGGTCTAAGGGTACGACAACAGAGTCAAACTTCTGAACCGGGAGGGAAGCGGGCACGTCTTGACATGACTCGTGGCCATGTCAGGCCACGCCTAGGGGTTCGCATCGCCAACAATGACGGGTGTGTGGTCACTGTGCTGCCTACTCCTCATACGGTCGCTGACAGGCACGTTGGTTCACCACGCCGTCCACCGGGATGGGATTGGACGCCATGACGAGCTGATGACGTCGAGGCATGGCACCAGTGGTGAACAGGAGCTCGACATGGAGTTGTCCCCGTCACTATCTACAGCATCAGTGGGACCCACATGAAGGAGAAGAAGGACGCAGCGGCCCCGGAGGCCTTCTTCTCCCTCGCTTTTCTCCTTTTCTCTCTCTGTAACCTGCGCCTCCCCATTCACCTATAAAAAAGGAAGCATGATGCCCCATGGTAGAGAAGGAGCACATGGCTGAGCAGCTGAACAAACTCTCAGCACTCTTCAATCCTTTCACCAGAGACCTGGGATCTGCTCCCTCTCTCGCCCGTTTGTAACCCCTACTACAAACTAGTGCCGGTAACACGAGCAGCAGCAGACTGGACGTAGGGACATTCCGCCCGAACCAGTATAAATCCTTGTGTCCTCTGAGCACACCATCCGGGCCAGACGCGTAGATACAAATTTACTAGTCGGTGATCCGAAAAACCGACACCTGGATCTTCCTATGATTGGGGCTGGGTCGCCAGTCGTGAGGAGCCAGTGGGTGGTGGATTCAAGGCCCCTACTAGCGTTGGGAATGGTAGCTCCTTCCTGAGGGTCAACCCGGCGCGTGGTAGGCCACCTCAGGTTGCCCCGCCACAAGCCCACCGTCCTCGCTCTCTTCCTTTGCCTCCCCCTTCCACCAGAGGGGAGCTTAGGGACGCTCCAAGGCTCTTTGTTGGCAAAGGATGGTCTCCTTGGAGCCTCTTATGCACAGTGGTCACCGACCACCTCCCCAACCCCCTACCTCGACGCGATTCGTAGGGAGCAGCAACCGCCAAGGGCATCGCCACTGACTGAGAGAGCCCATCCACGCTCCATCGTCATCAGAGGCAGGTGCGGCGATGCTGCTGGTGAGGCGGGCAGCTAGGTCGACGGCGTCAGGGGGGGCAAGCACCCCAAGTATCTTCGGCCACACTCGCGGCTCATCCACAGGCTCCCTGTCTATGGCTAGGACGTCGACGGCGGGACCAACCGGGTTGCCTGTGATTGTGCGCAACGTGTGCCACTACATTTGAGGCTCGGGCCACAGCCTACCTCCGGTGCCTGCACGCGTTTCTCTGCTCTAGACGCCGACAGATAGCGCAAGGTCCTGTCACAAGGGCTGTCAGACGGCCGTGATGGGGCTCGACCTGTGCGTCCAGTGAACCATAGTTCCTCTACCTGCTTCCCGCCAGACCTACACGGGAAATGACTCAATTGCCTCTCCTCCTCGCACAGGGTGGCAGCTTGCAGGTTGCCCTAGCGCTGCTTGCATTGTAGGGTTTCCGGCATCGCGCGCGCGACTGCAAGTGGCCGTGGGTGGCAGCCTATGGCAGGTTCGGCGTACCTGGCGACGAGGGTGATCTTCCTCAACGAGCTACCTAGGGCCATTGTGACGAGCTCTCATGCGCTCAGCCACTGACCCACGAAGGTCCACTGGACTCAGGTGGAGCTATATATGCTGGGTAATGCTGGGCACGTCAGCGGAGGATGTCAATGCCGGTGTCGGAGATGCCCAAGGAGTGATGGAGCCACGATGGCATCGATTGTCGTCGCCAAGACAGTCATGGCGAGCCATCCAGCAAGATGCGGTTTGTACGGTGCCTCTTTGAGCTTGATCCGTTGACACTGGTGTCATACCGGAATGCCATACACGACGCTCTTAACATCTCAGAGGACGCTATGCTCTGGAGGAGTTTGTAGCCTCGCTCGCTGTGAGTCGGACAGCAATTGGCCATTCACTAGGATGCCTCTCCACAACTCCAGCAGCAGCTTCTCTGAAAGACGAGATCATGTCAAAGGCCACATGTGTGTGCACCTGCGGCCTTTCGGTAAGGCTGCAAGTGTCCGCCAAGCACGACGACCGCCTTGGCACTTCTCCGACAATGTGTGCCGCTCCCTCACGCCCGGTTCTAGTGGCATCAGACTCATCTCCAGTGCCGCCCGAGCAAGGGCAGCCACAGGTCACATCATCATGGGTGGCGCAGACCATCACCTCGGGAGTCACAAAAAAAAGACCATCACCTCGAGAGCTGATGCATCTACGGAGGACGAGGTGTGCTATCCGCCAGGCTTTAGTCCGGCCGAGCCCACGGTGCATGCTGACCTGCTCAGTAGGCTGCTGTGGTACGGCCACCCGGCTGAGGATAGCTATAGCTCTGTTGTACGTTGCCTCAAGAGCTTCACCAAGCGAGTGCTAAAGAAGGTCGACTCCTCGTTAATTCTTTAGCCTCCCAAGCAGCCATCACTGACGTCAACACGACGTATGCTCTGCTCTTCGCGGCTTTAGCAACACTTGATGTCAACACGAGTGCTAAAGAAGGTCAGACATTGTGTGCTGCTCTTCGCGGCGAGCCACAAGAAGCATGGGTACAGCAGGTGCAGCAGAGTCGATGTCAACACGACGTATGCTCTGCTGTGCTTCACCACGGCGCTGGATGTCTTCGGGATGTTCGTCAGTGAGATGGTGCACTGGCTGCTGTCAGGCTAAAAAATTAGACTCCCCGCTAATTTTTAGCCCGTGCTAAGCTGTCGCTCCCGTTGTGGAGCAAGCAGCTGGCAACCTAGACCCTCTCTCGAGTACCTGCTTCCAAACTAGGTGAGGTTCTTTTCATACAGCGTTTGGGCTTCGCCACGTGTCGCGACGGAAGTCCTACAAGGAGCTTTTCTATGGTAAGCTGATTGCTTCCAACAATCCAACATCGAAGTACTGGACACGCTCTTCAAGGACGCTGGTAGCGGATTGTGTGCGAAACAGTAGATATGTAATCCCATCACTTAGGTTGCATCGCTGTGCATTTCTCGGTTGTATACTATTTGTGTAATATCAAAACTTGAATTCGCATGCTAGGACGGTCCATCCTCCCACTATCATCCTATAGACCATCTATGGTATTCGCCAGAAGCGCGTTGTTTGTATGATTAAATTCTTCTATTTTAATTATAATGATACCAAATCTTATGCGTATCTGAGAAAAAATAACTAATCCATCAACGCTTGCTCTTGTACGGGCTAAAAATTTAGGAAATATAAAATCTTCTGTTACACCTAAAATATAGGTGCAACCACAGTTGGTGCGTGCCCGACGCTCCCACTCTCGCCTAACTCCGAGTCTGATCCGCACTAGGAGGTCGATCTCCATCTAGATCGCGGATCGTCGGGATCGACGCGGTAGGAACGCCGGTTCGTGTGCTAGGGACGACGTCCCAAAAAAACACCGGATCGTCAAGGAAGAAGACGACTGAACCCAGAATTCTAAAACGCCCATTCCCAAATTCAATGAATAAACTTACTTGCATGGTTCTAGGAATCAGGACACATCAATGGGATAAGGCCCGACGGCCGTAGGCAACCGGCGTCGGCGATGCAGTTGAGGCGGAGAGGCGCGGAACTAGCGCTCGAGCTGGGCGGCGTGGCGCGGCAGCCTGGCGCTGGCGGCGGCGCGTTTCATCCTCTCCAAGACCTAATGTGAATGGGCCTACGGGCTGCAGCCCACACGCTACAAGCTGAAATGGATTCGTGTTTTTCATCACGTCTATACACATTCAGATCTATTCACATTAATGTTCTTTGTGCAATCTAAAATTATGTTGGTAAACATTTATGTAAAAAAATACTGATACTCATCTTGTACCTTTAATTGATTTATTAATTATTTTATTTATAATCGGTCGTTGTTCCATATAGCTACGTTTCCGGTACATCAGTCCAATTATCTAGGGTCGCATTTCAACTCCCGAACCAATCCTCTCGAAGAGATATTATCCATTACAAATCAGCAACTTGAAACTGTCGATCTACGTGCCACATACCCGAGCGAGACAGAAGCGGCCGTGACGCCATGGACGAAGTGGGCCGCGATGAGGCCGGCACGGAGGGAGCCACGATATAAGGAGGCAACAGAAAAAAAAGTAAAATAAATACGAAAAGAATAAAGAAATAAAAAAATGAAAATTGAAGGATACTATCGACATTTTATCGTTGTCAACAAATCAGGACAAGCTATTTACCAAATGCTTCTGTAAAACACCTTCGGCTCCACCGGTGAAGCTGCTCCACCAGCCACTAACCAAAGCAAAAAAAAAAAAAAAATGCTCCACCTGTGAAGCAGAATTGTACCCATGACGTAGTTTGTGAAAATCATAGTAGATCGTGTTACTATACACCAAGCTGGCAAGAAAAATCGATTTTGATACTGAAAGGGCCAGATCAAGCTTGTTTTAATTGGCAGTCCAGAGTTTAGACCTTGTAGCTGCATCGGATGTCCTCCTCGGCTCCTCCAGCGTCATTAAGGAAAAAAAACAGCACCGACCCTCAATCATCCATGTCCGATAGAATCATCCTCCACTCGGAGCTTACGCATCCGCATCCTATCTAGTTTTGCTATGAAAACCGGATCCCCGTGTTAGCGGCCGATATGATTTTTTATTGTTTTATGTAAATCCATCGCCATAAGTGTCAACAAGAAATGCATGGTCTCAGTGCGTAAGTGTCAACAAAAATGTATAGTCCCGGTGCAACGTACGGGTATTTATCTAGTGTATGTAAAAAACTCAAAATATCTTATAATTTGGAATAGAGAGGAGACTAATAACTAGTCCATATTTTTCTGATTATAAATTGTGATAGTTTAAGGGCCTATTTGTCTCAACAGCTTCACGAGCTGTTGTGAGCTATTTTTTTCTTTGCCAAATACTCATTTTCAAAACAATTTCATGGAGAAGCTGTTTTTCTTGTCATCTCACAGAGATATGAGTTAGGATAAAGCTAAAAGAATAACTTATTCTAGCTTCATCTCCCATATATGGGCTCCACTGTGCACAAAAGACAGCTTTTGACCAAGCCTAGAGAGAGAGAACACGCTCGCAGGAGGAGGGAGGCGACGGGGCTTGGCGGGCTAGGGGCACAGCCGCTAGGGCGCCGCCCCCCGGGCACTGCTCGCCGGGCCATGGTTCATTGGGGCACGGCTCGCCGGGGAGGAGGCGAAGAAGATGAGCCATCCACTGATGTCGCATACTCGGCGTCAGGAAGAAGATGAGGAGAGGAAAAAATGTGGAAGGAGCCACCGTAATCGCTGGGGGCCTGCGGGACCAGCGGCGTTCGCGGCCGTTAGAGCCCGTGAGCCGCCATAGCCGCCGGGGACAAGAGACAGGGCGCATCCGCCTGGGCAGGGCCAGGGTGCAGCCTGCCGAGGGCACGGTCACCGGCGTGTAATACACGGGCGCAGCCCACAGGCGCAGCAACCACCGGGCGCGGCCGCTAGGGCGGCTGCCGCGCCGGGTGCACTACCACCGGGACGTGGCCACGGGCGTGAGCAGCTCGGCCGTCGGAACCATTCACGGATGCCGCTGGGCCCGACGATCGACGATCGTCGAGAAAGCGGCGCCGCTAGATGCGCTCGGGAAGAAGATGGGCGAAAAAAGACCCGTGAGGAGATAAGGAAAAAAAAATAAAGGGCATTTTAGTCATTTATTTCATTTGCTCCATCTTATGAAGCTGTTGTGCCAAACACTTTTTTCAAAACAGCTTAGCTTCACTAAGATAGTTGCTTTTACCGGTGAAGCTAAACTATGGCAAACAGGGCTTTAGTATTTATTTTTTGGTATATTTGGTGAGAATTAACGTGGAGATTCTCGGTTTATGTCTCTAAAGTAATAGTATAAGATAAGATTTGATTGCACTTCTGGGTCGCGGTTGGACGATCGATATTGTGACCATCACGAAAGGAGGGAAACAAAATCATGTTCATATATCGTCTCTAATACGTGAGGCACTTTGGAATATTGCCACGGACATTAAAGGGGGAAGCAAGGTATAGAAACAAAGCTACTACTAGAGTGCGACGGCTTTTCTCTTTTCTCTTTTCCTTTTTTCTTTTGTTTTTGACAAAGTATGTATTATTACTGATAATAAAAGTAAAGTAGGGATACTTAAATGTTTGTAACACTGTTCATTAGAAGGCGTGTAAGGGGACATGTATGCAATATAAACACTAGTAATCGGGAGGTCTAACTTCTTTTCAGTGGTACGTAGTGACACACACAGAAAAACTGAAAGAAAAGAGAGTTGTGAGGTCTTATTCGTAGTGATGCAAATATAGACATAGATCCATAGACACATCAAGAGCTATTTCGTCTGGGAAAGATGAGTGACATCTGGAGTGCTGTGCAATGGTGGGACGAGTGGCAGCTTCGCATCCTCGTCCTCAGCAGCCTTAGCCTCCAGTGGTTCCTCGTGCTGGTCGTCCCCCTGCGCAACTACACCATCCAGCGCTGGCTCAGAGCATGCTTCTGGCTGGCGTGCATCTGCGCCGACGTCCTGGCGATCTACGCGTTCGCCACCCTCTTGTATCGCCAGGCCGCCGGCAGGTGGATCAGCAGCTTCGACGACTACTACAGCAGGGCCCAACAAGGGAGGTCCCTGACGCTGGAGGTCCTGTGGGCACCTCTCCTCCTTGTCCACCTGGGCGGGCGGGAGGAGCTCACCGCCAACAACATGGAAGACACGGCGCTCTGGGTCCGGCACGCCGCGGTCCTGGTTACCGTCACCGTGTACGCCTTCTCCACGTCGTTGCGCTACTTCAGCGACAACAGCGACGGCAGGAGGCTGCTGGCGTCGGCGGTCCTCCTGCTGGTCGCCGCGGTCGTCAGCTCCTGCGGGAAGCCGTGGGTTCTCAGGAGAGCCAGCGTCCGCCGGCTGGTGGCCAAGTCGTCGCTGGCGAAAGGAGCGAGGACGACGAAGACGAAGACGAAGACGAAGACGAAGACGAAGACGAAGACGAAGCAGCCCTAGCGGCGGGTGGTGGGAGTGGTGCTTCACCGGGCTGGGCGACAGGTACAAGTGCTGGAAAGAGCTGAAGCCCCGCGGCACCGCACCGATGCTGTCGCAGGGAGACAAGGTGCAGATGCTGCTCTCGGGCCTGTCGCTGCACGCCGCTAGAGCAACGCTGGAGACGCGGAAGAAGAAGAAGCCAGATCAGAAGATCCTCGAGCCTCTCAATCCCTGGCGGCGTGAACAGCATCAAGCCCTGGAGCCCTCAGAAGTTGACAAGATCATGAAGCCCTGGCTGCGCCAAACGTTCGGGCTCATCTACACGAGGGAAGCCGCGATGTTCACGCCGGCGTACCTGGCCTGCCACGCGCTGCTGGTGCCGTCCCTGTACGTGGCCGCCACCGTGCTCTTCTTCTTCGCGGTGGACTACAAGAAGCATGGGTACAGCAGGTACAGCAGAGCCGACGTCAACACGACGTACGCTCTGCTGTGCTTCACCGCGGCGCTGGATGTCTTCGGCATGTTCGTCAGTGAGATGGTGCACTGGCTGTTGTCGTCGTCCGGTGGAGCGTCGTCGTGCGAGAACGTGCCGGGGCATAACCTCATGGACTCGGTTCTCTGGACGATCAGGAGGCCGAGAGTGTCCATGCTGCTGCTCTGGTGTTACAAGGGAGGTTCTTTCGTCAAGGACAAAGATCGCCTGTACGGCAAGGTGGAAGACGAAGACAAAAACAAAAACAAAGACGACAAGGTGGAAGACAAAGACATCATCATAAACAAGGTGAACATCATCTTAAACAAGGTGTCAGAGAAAGACAAAAACAAAGAGAATTTCGACCTCGACCTATCCAGTTACAGAAGCTTGAGCAAGCGCAACTGGATTCTCAGGGACAAGGACCTGGAAGTAGTTCGCGGCAACAAGTACCAGAACATCCGGGCCAGTCTGCGTAAGAAGCCGTTTGACGAGAGTGTCCTCATCTGGCACATCGCCACCGACCTCTGCTTCCGCGTCAAGTCTCCCGACTACTTCCGCTTCAGGCCACCGCTTAAAGGGGTGGTTCGTGAAGTGTGCACGGAGGCGATATCCAATTACATGGCCTACCTCCTGGATTTCCAGCCCGAGATGCTGATGGCCGGCAGCAGGCAACATCTCTTCACCGAAGCCATGGCAAACATGGAGTGCGTCATCAGAAAAGCCACCAAGGGGTTGAGGCCCAAGCTCAGAGAGAAGCAACCGTTGGATGACGTGATCCTACGCAAGATCAAGGAAGAAGCAGCCAGCCTCAAAGAAAAAGAGGCGTACACCGTCATTGACGACGCTTGCAAGCTCGCACAGGAGCTGCTGGGCATCCAGGACCACGAGACCCGGTGGGAGCTCATGCATCGCGTGTGGGTGGGCATGCTCTGTTACTCTGCCAGCATGTGCAGGAGCGACCTGCATGCCAAGAGCTTGGGAGAAGGCGGGGAGTTCCTCTCCAATGTCTGGCTCCTCATCTCACTGATTGGGGGCAGGACCTTAGCGGACAAACTCCAGATGCCTGATGACGACCCAGAACCAGAAGGCAAGGTGGTCGAGGATCCAGCAAAGGACAAGGGAGAACAAAAACCAAAACCAGAAGCAGCAGGTTCAAGTGCTCCTACTCTTATTTCAGACAATGGCCTTGGGCATTTTTGTAGGAATTATTTACCTGTTTGCTTGCTTCCTATTTGCAGACAAGGTTCTTCAGACGCCGGACTCGGAATCAAAAGAGCAGCGGCGTAGTAAGGCTGCCAATATTTTTAGGTGCTCCTATTCCTATTTCTTCAGAGTACGGCCTTGAGCTAGCTTTTTATTCATTTTATTGACCTATTTCCTTCTTATTCGCAGACAAGGTTTTGATGCTGGACGGGTATGAGCTCCGCAATGTGTTTTTGGTTGATTTACCATACATGTTTGCTTCCCTTATCGCTCAAGTTGCTAATATTTTGTGCTAGTGTGTGCTACATGTATATTTGCTTGTTTGTTTAATTTGTTGCCGCAACAGCATCATGCATGTCCTTAGGTTGCTATATGCGTGATGTTTGTGGCCGTTTGCGTGTTCATTCAGTCATGGTTTGATAATCTGAGTCTTCAGCTCTGGTTTTGTACTTTGTACCCGCAGCCAGCTGTGAAAGAGTTGAAATTACAATATGAGTGATCCTTGTTCTCTTCAATGCAATAGTTAGAATCTGTTACCAATTGTTGAGAGCAAGTCTAAGAAGATTAGAGAGTGCACATGGACAAAAACTCTGTCCCCAAAAGCCTTTGGTGTAACACCCCCAGAAAAGATGCCACCACAAGAGATAGAAACTAGAGCGAACAACAGAATTTAAATATGAAGAGTTGAAATTACAATATGAGTGATCCTTCACTACATGTAGAGATGTCCTGGTTTATAAGCATTGTACGTGACAACGTGCACGAAATCTTCTGAAATTTTTATCATAGCCTCCACATACACAACTGGATTCAGGTTCTTTGCCGAGTGCCTGAGGCACTCGACAAAGGCCTAATTGCACTCGGCAAAGCCTTTGCCGAGTGCGGCACTCGGCAAAGAACACACGGCAAAAAATTAATCGGCAAAGACCTCTTTGCCGAGTGTCTTTTATCGGGCACTCGGCAAAGGCTTTGCCGAGAGTCCCGGTGGCACTCGGCAAAGAAAAGCAACCGTGACGGCGCCGAATCCGTTGACGGTGGCTTTGCCGAGTGCCAACCCTGCAGGCACTCGGCAAAGATTTTTTATTTTTTTTAAAAAAAAATTCTTTGCCGAGTGCCCACTGGCCGGCGCTCGGCAAAGTTTGATTTTTTTTTAAAAAAAATTCTTTGCCGAGTGCCCTCTAGCCGGCACTCGGCAAAGTTTCAATTTTTTTTAAAAAAATTCTTTGCCGAGTGCCCTCTCGCCGGCACTCGGCAAAGTTTGATTTTTTTTTAAAAAAAAATTCTTTGCCGAGTGCCTTCTGGCCGGCACTCGGCAAAGTTTGAATTTTTTTTTTAAAAAAATTCTTTGCCGAGTGCCCTTTGGCCGGCACTCGGCAAAGTTTCAATTTTTTTTTAAAAAAATTTTCTTTGCCGAGTGCCCTCGGGCCGGCACTCGGCAAAAGTTTGAATTTTTTTTTAAAAAAAATCTGAAGCTCCCATGTTGCTCGCTTTACTCCTTGCTTTAACCTGCAAATGAACCAAACATCACAAAAGAAAATAAGTAGCCAATAATGAACTAAAAGAAAATAAGTACCAAGTAATGAGCTTAAATAGATCTAACAATACCTAGGCTAACAAAAGCTCTAATTAGCATTTGAAAATCCACTAAGCTCCAAAACTATAAACTGCTAGCTCTTGAAACCAAACTGCAAGTACATGCAAAGCCATTTCAACTATTTCGTTCTGCCTTCACTGAAAAGCATGTACTGAAACTGAGGTAATTTTGCAATTACAGAGACAAGCTAACTACCGACACAACCTGAGAAGTGAGAAGCACAAGAACTGATGGACCAACACAACCTGAGAAGCACAAGAACTGATGGACTTGCACCTGTCCTCACCGAGTTCCAAAACCCAAATCCAAGCAAATGAAATAAAATAAGTTTCTGAACAGGCCATTTGACATTGCTAACAACCTTGCAAGTGAATCATACATATTCGAATCAGATTGTTATATGGCAATAAAATAAGTTTAAATTTACCAAATGCAAGCAGTCAGTTCTTACTACTGACTTTATCGTTTACAGTCCTATCAATAACGTCTACTTTCAATGCAATTCAAAGGCAAGGATAATGCTTGTTTAGGTCACAGTTTGACGAGATATCAGTCAAGATTTGTTGTCTTTGCAAACCTTGAAGGATTTTATAAAATGTACTCAGATCATGAAATCTATTCTTTATAGTATTCAAGATGTAGCTAGCGACATTTCCTCATTTACAAATTGTGATGAAATTGATTATATGGTACTCAACCAAAGTCTACACCCATTGAAAATATTATTTAAGATAATTGTCATGATCATACCAAAATACAGAAAAAAAAAATTCAAATCTGAATCCATAGAAAGACAAGGCAAGTTGTTGACCCAATATCATTTGAGAAATAACATTTAGTCTGATAATTGCTGGAACTAGTAATACCTGGACAAGAGAACTTACAAATTATAGCATAGCTATTGCTGATTGTTGTTGCTGAAAAGAAAAGAAAAGAGCAAAGCACTAAGCTTCTAAATCAAATAGAACAGAAATAAAAAATAAAAAGCATTCCCTACATGCAGAGTTATTTATGCAGAGTTATTTAGACAGGTATGCTAAATAAGAGAATGAGCAGCAGGCCATATTGCACATATGGTTAGGAAGTGCTTTTTTACTAGCATAAGAGACGTATGCACCATTGGAACAAACATGACATTTCAATTTTGGTACAAACAATAATACTGCTTTAGTAAAGTTTTTTAAATTGCGTAAAGTTTCAATAAGCAGTAAGACTTAAATACATGTTTCGCTTATGATAACATGCTGATCTTGTGAGTATCCTGGGTGTTCCAGGTGAAGGCGATGAGTTTCCAATGACTCCGGCAGGACAAGCTAGCATTCCCGGTGAAGATCTGTTGCTGTGTGATGAATGACTTGATGAACTCACGAGGCAAGCATCGCCACCAAGACATGAGGGCGTTGATAAATAGCAAATCTATGAGTGTGGTAGGAGTCTTGCCTGCCTTGACTCGTTTCCATTGTTGCTAACGGAAATGTTAAAGTTAAACAACTAGTACTTTGAAGCGTGTAAGAACACTGTACCACAGCCAATCTATAGCGTCGAACAATGGTCGCTAAAACATAATATTAACGACCAACAATTGGTCGGTATACCACAACCAACATTGTAGAAATAGACAAACGATTTACCATGGTCAGGTAACAATGCTATCTTTGTGGTGTTTACTACAAATGTAAGCTATTCCCCAAACAAACATTGGATCTGCACACATTAAGAATAATACCTGATATATGGTCATTGCTGCCAGCTCTATCACAAAGCATACTGAAGCCCACTGCATCACCAAATCTATAAATAACCCAGAAAAAATATGGATGAAATGCTAGCGGATTTACCTGAACCATGTATCCAGTCATTTTTAATATTTAGTTTGCAACTCTGAACACCTGCAGAAACATCAGTACATGAACAAAAGCTGTAATTAAGATAAGAACTTATTACGACATTGCTGTAGTGAACATGTACAATATTTAATCCATTAGCAATCTCACCATAATAAATCTACTCTGTACATTTGCTTTCTGATAATCTGAAAGAGGCTTCTCAAACCTTATTATTATTCTCTGGATTTTAATATATGCGATGGCATCTTGATGCAGAAAAATACAAGCCATAGCTCTAGTCTTTTAAGCACAATTCTTTAAAATTATTGTGGCGGCAATAGTAGGAGAATCACCTGGATTTTAGGAGGACAAATGATTAAGGAGAATCACCTGAAACTGAAGATCCATAGAAATACAGTGCTAATTAGTTACAAACCGGTAATGGTAGCAGGGAGAGTACAGAAACACAGCAACAGTTCACTGAGATGAACATTGCAGAGCTCTTCCTTTTTTTGTAATGTTTCGGATGAAGTAAGGGGTTGCAGATACATTGTGGCTGATAGATAGAACATGAACATATATCTTGTTCAATTTGTGTAGATTGCTGAATATATATTCTAGCATGCTTATGCTCACTTAACTCTTTACCAATATGTGCTTCTAATTTGGTTCATGGTGGCACCACAATAGTAGATTAATAACAGTACATAAGAAAACAGTTCCTGAACTTTGTACTGATACGTGCTGATATCTATAATTGGAACTGATTTGTTAATTTACCCTACAAGTGATTTGGATAGCTACATGTATTAACCAGATACTTTCTTGCCTTTTTTAGATCTATATATGATGAACATCATCAAAAACATATATCTTGGCTGATTAAGCCGGGGTTAATCCTAAATAAAATTCTAAAACATGCTTTTGGCCTGAATAATAAAAACAAAATGATGAGCTTGTATGCATCCCAACGACTTATAATGGTTCGACATCATTAGCTGTTTGTGAATTGCGATTAGACGCACACGTTAGTGCATAGCAAGAGAAAGCAGATCGGATCGGATCGAGGCACGCATAAGCGGTATAGGCTAGTAGCATGATTAGATCGAAAAAATAGAGGAGGTAACTAACATGTACGTTCGGTTTAGGGCGCTTGCAGAGGTCATCGTCGTTCGATCGTCGCGAGGACTCCATGGGCGCTTCGAGGTCCCGCTCAGAAGCCGGCACTCCTTGCTGCTCTTGTCGGAGAGGTCGGCGATGCGGCGGCCACGGCCTCCTTTTCCTCGACGCCTCGACGCGTGGGCGGAGAGCCGCCCGGCGTTCATAACGGCTTCGGCTGGGCAAGGAGAGAAATGGATGACGAATCAATAGCGAACGGGAGGAGAGGAGAGAGAGTCCTTGTGACTCGTGTACCTTGAGGAGGTCGATCGGCGATGGGCTGCGCGGAGGTCCTCGAGCGGGCTCCGGCGAGATGCGATCCGATGGTCGGGGCGCTGCCCGGTGGCCGGCGGGCATGTGGGCGGCCGCGCACTGCAGCAGACGGGACGGAGGGAGGGCGGCGCGGCGGGCGGGCGGGCGGCGGGTGGCTGGGAGGGGCAAGGGCGCTGGTGGGCGGGCGGGGCGTGGAAGTGCGGATGGTGGTTGGTCATGTCTCGAGGCTTGACCGCCCGGTCGGCCAAAATCGGCTAAGTGCCCCGCGCGCTTTTTTGCCGAAGGCGCGGATTAGGGAGGCACTCGGCAAAGGAGGCAACTTTGCCGAGTGCTCCGATCCGGACGTCGGTAAATTTTTATTTTTTAATTCCTTTGCCGAAAGTGCCTCTGTGAAGGCACTCGCAAAAAGAAGAAATTTCTATAAAAAATAAAAATTCTCTTTGCC